CATTCGGTGCGACAGGTAAGAACGTACTACAGGTAGGCGGAGGCTGGAATATACCCGGCCCCAGTGGGCATCTGGTCGGTACATACCAAAGTACCAGGGGTTCGATGCGAGGTGTCTGGTATTTGCGCGGACCTCCGAGTAAACAATGTTGTTTTCGATGGTTATTAATATAGTAACAAAATCAACTTCAAATATAGATAGGAAACTGCGCGGACGCACAGGAAGACACATTAACATTTTATGTACACTCCTAAAGTAAAAATCACGTAAACTGACATTTACACAAACATAAATATAAACACAGACACTAAAACAAAACAGTCAGAGTCAGTTGTATGATGGGTTGGTAGAAATCAAAGCTATCTAGAACTTGTAAAAGTTTAAAAGCATCGCGAGTTCGAATCCGAAGTTGAATTGCTTCTTTCAGACATTTTTCTCCAGGGGATGGGAGGTGGAGAAGGGGATATTTAATTTCCCGGGGGAGGGGGGGGGCTGATTTTGAATCTTCCAGAGCGGGGGCGGAATAGCTCAAGTTTATATTTTCTGTATTATTTATGTGTCTAGACTGTAAGAAACCTAAACTCTTGTAGATCTAGAACTGTAGAAACTTTATAGTTCTAGAACTGTAAAAAACCCGTGTAGTTCTAGAACTCTAAGAAACCCTTGTAATTCTAGAACTTGAAGAAACCCTTTTAGTTCTAGAACTATAACGGTTCAAAATTACTGGCCAAAAGTCACGGTTCATTAAACGCGTGTCAAACATGAATTGGCATTCGACCTGTTACGACGTTCACCCGTTAACTTTTACCTTCAGGTATGATCAGGCCCCGGCTCCAAACAATACATTCGTGTGGTCATCGATGCGTGTCCGTATTAATAATGAACGCGGGTGATTTCTGCCAATTCTTTGGTTCGGTCATTAGTGAAGATGTGAAAAAATTATGTTACACAACTACGGCAGGGTAATCAGTGGCGCGACTACATGTTCTTAAGTCCGAGGTAGGTGTTTAATTATGACGAAACGCGCTGGACATTGAATGCTCTTATGTTAAAAAAATACCGTAACACAATTTTAAACAAAAAGGGGTGGGGGGCGGTCTACATTTTCCGGGGGGGGGGGGGGGGGTTGCGCATATTAGTAAAAGTATATGTTTACTATATAGCTTCCATCTCGTTCTGGGGGGGGGGGGGGGGACGGTAGACTTACTTCGGGAGTGCAGAGCCCCCCCCCCCCCCCACCCGAAGAGATGCCTGGAAGAAACCCTGGGAACCACTCAAATATATTTCATAGAATCATTATTTTTTTTTAAATTTACAGATGGAAAAAAAATTAAATTAAACCCAGATACAATACATGATAAACAATCAGAAAGGCGGATAGAAAAAAAAGTTTACATACACTTAAAACAAACATACACGTTCTTAAGCAGCATAAAACTATAGAAACATCACAGGTTAAATTCTTGAGCTAATACAATCGTACTAATCTACAAATCTCGTGTTTGTATCCCGGATTCAAATCCCCGAGCTCACTCGTATCTCTTGGGTACCAATGTTTCTTTCAGGCATCTCTTTAGGAACATAATTTAAAATAAAACTTGAATTGAAAAAATATATACTTTTACCAGTGTCCGTCCCCTTCTCCTCACAGGAAATTTAAGCCCACCCTTCCCCTCGAAAGTTTCAGGTGCATTTCCACCCCTCCCCCTCCACGGAGAAAAAAAAGCCTGAAAGAAACACTGTTAAGTACTTGACTCACGTTAGGTTAAGTCAGCTAGGCGTAAATAAAACTGTACTTAGTAACCTTTCAAATGCCCTACCCCGCCAATCAACTTAACATGTTTCAAATGTTTATTGAACGACGACGTCATACTTCGTTATGACTAATCACCTTAGTCTTCGAGCGATGACCAATGAATTTAGTTAAGTTCTATGTTTAACTCAATCATAAAAATAGCCACATATGGGGCTATCACATCAATCTATGTTTAGGAGGTATTTTTGTTAAAGTCCTTAAATCGATGGGACTTTCACATCAATTACGTTTAGAAGGTATTTTTGTTAAAATCGTTATGTCGGCGGGACTTTTACATCAATCTACGTTTAGAAGTCGTTTTTTTTTTTTTTGTTTTTTTTTAATCCTTAGGTCGGATATGGCTTTTTAATGTTCTCAAAAGTATTTTCTAAACAGTCTCTGCGCCTACATGTCTCAATGAGCTCCAGAACTCGAGGATCGATTCTAAACTCCCGATCGATTTTTAAAGTCATTGAACTGATGTAGGGGGAAAAAATCGTTGGCCTTTCATTACTGCAACACCGCGGAACAGACATTTGAAACTGAACTGCCCGAAGCTCCATAATTGACTACTTCCGTTTCTCGCTTATCAGGAGAGTTAGAATTAAAAGCAGACTAGAGCTGCCGCCATTACAGCTACGGACATTTGAAATAAATAACTGGTCGAGCTAAAAGATGAAAACCAGTCTTTAGCCAAATGAAAATCGATATTTTAAACTCATAATCACCTACAAGGGCCGCAATCGTGTTATGGAAATAAATTTTAGGATAAGACAAACAGGAATAGCTCTGAAAATGAATTACTATTATGCCATTCAGTCTATCAGACTTGTGTGTGTGGGAGTAGTCAGTGGCGTAGGCAAGGAGGGGTTGGGAGGGGGGGGGTTATAACCCCTCCCATGGACTCAGACCCATATATATATATATATATATATATATATATATATATATATATATATATATATATATATATATATATATATATATATATGTATGTATATATATATCACTTTATACATATGGAAAAATATTTGAACCCCTCCCATGAGCTATTCCTGTCTACGCCACTGGGAGTAGCGAGGCTGCTGAACATTACTCTGTATCAATTACTCCCGTAATTTCCCCTTGCCATAAGTCCTCTGATCAGTTGTTCCCTATGATTTACACCCCTCCCCCCCCCCCCCGTCACTTTGCCTACATAAGAAAAATTATGTACCTGCCAAAACACGTGTTATTGGTGATGGAAAGTGGGTGGTTTTTTTATACATGGACCGCGTAGGCAACCGACCGACGGGGGGGGGGGGGGGGGGGTAATACCCTATTACGTTATTTGGTAATGGAGCTATCGGAGTTTCTTCCAGGCATCTCTTCGGGGGGGGGGGGGGGGTCTCCGACCCCCCCCCCCCCATCGAACGAAATGGAGTTTATATAGAAAATATATATTTTTACCAGTGTCCCCTTGGAAAATGTTGACCGCCCCCCCACCCCCGAAAATATCAAGCCCCCCCCGGAGAAAAAGTCTGGAAGAAACATTGGGAGCTATACACATGTGAGTAATGACATGGGGTTGGTATGAGGGAAGTGACTGGGCTAATAGACACGAATAGTAACTAGGTAAATATTGATAACAAAAAGGGGTCGGCGTGATCGATCGAACCTTGGATAGCTGTGGACAGCCACTCTTCTAGGAGAGACAACTCCAAAATAAAACAATTGCTGTCTTGCAGTTTGTTCTTAGTTGGACAAAGTTTATGGAAGCAAATCCAAAAAAGCAGGCAGAAATCGGAGTCGACGGCCTAAATGGCGCAAAACCAGTTGACACGTATATTTAATTGTGTTGGAGGGAATTCCATCCAATACTAAAATTAAGAACGAAGTAGAAGACGAAAAAAAAAGTGTATTGTATCGCAAGCAATGTTTGGTCTCAACTAGATTCTATATAGTCCTATTTAAGTGATAACCTGAGTATAATTTACATAGTTGAATCCTTTAAAAAGATTAATATAACCAATAGCCTACATGTAATTCTACGTTAAAATTTCACATACATGATCTTTAGAAAGTATCAAAGTTCTCACATAAACAATACTTCCCTACCATTTCATTTGGCTGTATGTACCTCCCAAAAAACATATGGACATCAAATTGCCGTTACAGTTTATTTCAGGCATTTCTTCATGTGGTGGAGGGGGAAGAACGTCTATTTTCTACACCTCCCCCCCCCCCCCCCCCCGAACAAAATAGAAATTTTATAGAAAATATATAGCCTACTTTTACCAGTGTATGCCCCCATCCGTAAAAATTTACCTCCCCCCCCCCCACCCCCCGTAAATTTAAAATGCCCCCATTCCCCACCCCCCACCCCTAATTGGAGAGAAAAAAAGCCCGAAAGAAACACTGATCGCCGGGCAAGGAGGTGTTGTGACTTTTGTTATGATGTGTAGCGAGATGTGTGGAAGGGTTTAGAAGGTGAGAAATACAAACACACGCTTTCGGTTTTTTTAAATCGTTTTTTTTTTAAGACTTTGTAAATAAAAAATTAGTAATATAGGCCCACTTAATTTTGACACCATAAGGCATGTTTAAAAAATAAACGTTGGGTCGGGAGGGGTGTGTGTGTGTGATAAGGAGTAACGTTTGTTGTTGTTTTTTTTTGGGGGGGGGGGGGGGGTTGGGGAGGGGAGGGGAAGGTCCTGGGAGATTGTCAAGGCTCTTAAAAATGTTGTGAACATAATGTTTAACCTAATAAGGAAAAAAATATTATCTGGTAAAATCAGTTTTAATAAAAATATAGGATTCTCAATTATATGTCTGTTTCTACTATCTATATTTTACTTTCCTATTCAAAACAAAAATATTAGATCTCTCTATATCCGGAATAATTTTTAAAAGTTCTTATAACAGGTCTAGAGTTGTGGTGTTCAAAGCAAAAATCTGGAACTAAAGGGAAACGATTCTCAATCAAAGATGATGGTGTTAATGTTTGGTAGTTTACCTTGTTTACGCCGGCGTACTGCTCGCTTAGTCTCCTGAAAAAAGTAGGTCATAATGTAATTGTCATTTATATTCATTAAATAAATTGTGAAATAGTAATACACAAACTGTTAAGTGAAGCTATATATTTTGTACACATGTATAAAATTGTACTTTAATATGTATGCTATTTTTACATGCGCAAGAATTGAATGTCGAATGAACTCTTTGCCCACCCCAAGATGGCGTAATGTTGGTGTCTAGTTTGGATAATAAGGAAATGAGTGATAATCATTCAAGTTCTTAATGATAATTTCATTACAATAAGACTGCTGCAAAATCAGTTTGGTGAGATTTCGTATGCCAATGCTTAATATTACTGAAACTTAAAAATTTATTCTCTAGCATGTTACAAAATAAAAAACACATTCACTGAACCAAAAAACTACAAAAACTTACCCACTGAATCATTCACTGAGACTCAGGATTGAATGAAATGTTTTCTGTACTGATGTACTGTATCTGTAGGCCTACTGCATTTATTTCAGTTGACTATGTGTAGTCTATGACTAATCATAGTGAGTTACTTGTTTAGTCTGTGTAATAAATCCTTATGGATTCAATGTCTCTAAAAATCTTTGATCACAGCCATGGTCCATGGGCATAGGATAGGGCATAGGCCTAGTCTGCTAGTCCATAGTCATTTTTATTAGGAGAAAAAATACTGTCTGTAGTCAAGACATCTATATTACTACAGGCTACTACTAGCATAGTTTATTACCTAATTTTTACTTTGGCCCCTACTTAATATTTAGAAATCTAGATTAGTTATTAGGTTAGGTAAGTGTAGTCTAGTAAAATCTAAAAGCAGTAGAATCTCTAGCTAGATCTAATATTACTTCTATTAGTTAAAAATGATTGAAGATAATAAGATAATGATATCCGATAATAGACTTTTCCAAAAATAGTTGTGGTAGGTTGTTAGTAATATTGTAATTTTGACAAGTTTTATGGTTAGAAATTAGGGTTAACCGTATGGTAGGGGTAGTACCCCTAACCTCAACCCTAGTCCTACCATTTATTGGTGGTGTTAGCATTGACTTTAACATTAGTAGGAAGTCTGTGTATTTTCGTTAACTACCAGTAACTGAGTAACCTAACTAACACCCATTTTCAAAGAAGATTCTATTATCAGACACAGGTATAAAAATTACCCCGTTAAAAACAATAGTAATACAAGTTTAGTATTAGATAGATCTACCTAGTAGTAGCGTTGTCGGTATAGGCAGAGTTTGCTGTAAAAACATGACCCGAAATCTCCCATTTCTTTCTGATACCGGACGCACGAGATTTGGTTTTGCATACTAATAAGTTTTTAATTTATGGTAATTACGTTTAAAAGGTCATTTCCTAATTTTAAATAAAAAGTAGAATGGTTTTCCCATTGTTTTGATGGTTTTGCGATCTGATTGGATGCAGTCTTTGCTTTGGTCTTCCCCCTGTATCAAGGTTAGTTTCAAATACGTTGGTATCTCGATTTTTTAAAAGATTATTCTAGATGAGAAAAGGTTACTGAGCAGGCATATCTTATGTATGGGGAAATATTTGTTTTTGGATATTTTGACTCCGATCTTAGTTATACTCGTCTAGAGGTAGTCACTATTTGTAGGTTGCGTTGTCACCATTGTAACATTTTTTCATCCCTATCTTCCGGCCTTTAGTTTTGATAAACTGACAACAGCATTCTTATGCAATGTGCAAACAAATCTCCTAATTGTTGTTTTCAAAATATTTTAACATACCAATCTTTCATTTTTTCAGCTCTAGATCTAGTTTTTGTTAAGGGTTTAAGGACAATTTTGGCAAATTTGTTTTTCTTAAAATTTAACTTCATCATCATCAGACTAGACAAGAATCAGGCCTAGCTTACCTTTCTGTTGCTATACACTATCTATGTGCTAACTGCAATTTTAAGTTTTCAAGTTCTATTTATCCTTATTTATAGTTATATGCTGAAAATCAGAATTCATTCACAATATAGGCACATAAAACATTGATCTAATAACTTCAATCAATTCACACTTATAACAAAATGGCTTAAAGATGGACTCTACTTCACATGCCGAAATAATAAGGCAGTTATATGCACATTACAGACAGTGCACTAGTAATATACTTTAGATTTCTGACTATGTAGTTCTTTCATTCAATTTATTTATATAAAACATTGCTTCAGAAACATTTTCATATTTGCGCAGCACACAATTTTGGGGTTAGGGGAGGAAGCCAGTACAAAAATATACTTTCTGTATTATTTTTATTCAATTCAACAACATATACAAGTTCTATATATCATTCTAGCTAAACTATTCAAATATGTACAAAATACAACAGCAAGTAAAATGAATATGCTCATTTACTTACACAGATACACCATTTCTCATCACAAATGGTCAACATTAAGAAGGTGGACTTTTACCCGTCATGAAAAAATTCATAAAAAAAAAAACTATTTGAGATAGAAAGAAAATCTTTTCTGTTTTGGTTTCTCCTTATGGAGATCTGCAAGAACATATAATTTTTATCTTTATATGATGATAAGTGTTTTTTTTTTTACCAGAATCCCTACTAGTAGTGTAGTAGTGGAGTGACTGTTTGATGTAGCTAAATTGTTATAATAGATTGAGGATCCATCAGTATTGAAACTAGACAAGTTCAAAGATTAGATTATTAATAAACTATACTAAAAATTAGACTTGACCTATAAATTAGGAATTCAGTTACTTTAGTAGAAATCTACGTCAAATTATTTCAATGTTGTAGACCTAGAATCTAGCGAGATCTGTCTAATATTAATCTGGTGGTAACTTACTGGATCTAGATTTAGGTAGGATAAAATAATAGGATAGTTTTTAGGCCTTATAAATAGATCTAATAGTAGTACTATTAAGTTACTAGATCCAGTTATCAAATAAAGACAAGCTCATTTAAATGCTAAGTAGACCTATTTTTTTCTAGATAATTTCTAGCGAGAGAGAAAGTTTCAGTATGTTTGGAAAAAATGCTAAACAACTTCAAAGTGTGCTTGATGTGGGAGTAAAATCAACATTGCAAGGAGTGAGATCACTAGGCAGTAATACATATGCTCACAATCAGGGCACATGAGAAAAAAAAAACATGATTTTGTAAATAACGTCATAGAAAAATATGATGATTATAAGCAATGCACAGGATGGGTATGCTATTGAAAATAAAATAGCCTGCTCAAGTATAAATTGTTATCATAAAATAATGAGCGCACCTGTAGTGCATTGCTACCATCTCAGAAGAAAGGTTAACATACCTTTGTAAGAGGATTTCATCAATGTGTTGCCAGTCATGTGTCCCTGTCTTGGTTTGGTCATCAAATGGAGTGGCCCTCCATGTCCCTAGTGGAGGGTGCTCAGGTGCTTTTTAAAATGAATGTAGGCGCCATAGTGCTTAGAGGAGCCCAGGTTGCTGCATGTCTCCCAACTGCCAGTGCACCAGCATAGGCGTCTGGTCCAAGCTTGTCAATGATTAGTTGCCCACAGTATCTATAATGTATGGAACGTAAGCGAGCCTGGGTGCTATGTGGGGTGATGATGCACTTAGTCAGTGCAGGATGCCCAACCAATGGATTTCAGTAGCGCAACGTATCCATTGTGTATCACACTCTTTAAAATTATCATAGTCGCTATACTTCTCACAAGGGAACCCAGTGCGGCAAATCTCACCCTGCTTCACTAATAGTAGCCCATTGTATCCATAGTGAACCGCACTCTTTAAAACAAGCGTAGGTAAGGTACCATGGTGCTAATGGGGGCAGGGGGGGTGTTACATCAAACCTTACCCTGCCTGTACGCCACCTTTAAAAAAAACATTTTAATTTTAAGTTTGTAGCGATTGTATGAACTATGTAGTAGTGTATAAAGGGCAGACACACACACTGGCATTATTTTTATATAGTTAAATGAGGAGCTTTACAGTACACCAAAAAGCAGTTTTGTTGGCAATTTATATACATTTTATTTATAATTCTTTTGGCCTGCAGTTCAGTCAAGGAATGCATTAGAAATGTCTGTTTTGATTTTGCACCTTTTTTTGTTGCATTGGTAACAATAAGTTACTCTCAGTTACTAATATTAGTAGAGTAGCATATTAATTTAACTACATTTAATATTTTATTCTTTGGCCTAGAATCCAGAGAATGTGTTAGCAATTGGGCTATCATACTCAGAGCTATGTTACAGTTTTTTTTTTTAATTTCAGAACATTCTATCCTTTTTAAACTATGCTGATAAAATTATGGAATTGTTATTTTTCAGGCTGCCAAGATTGGATTTTCATGTTATATTCCAATTGATGGAAGCTAGGAACATGTTCTACAATGTGGGAAAAGCTAAGAAACTGTGTTGGATTTATTGTATGATCAAGAATTACTGTGTCATTGACCTATAGACAGTTTATTTTTCTATTGGTGTTTTTCTGCTGCTGCAAATTTGGGAGTCAGATCAAGGCCTAAGGTTAGATTTGATTTCACCTCATTTTCAAACTTATTAAACCTTAAATACAAAATGTTAGGACATGTTGTTTTGTTTTTTTTTTGTTGTTTTTTTTTTTTAATTAAAAATTATTTAATTTAACTGATAAAATGTAAAATAACGAAGAGCTAATTTTAATTTTGTATCTATATTTTGTCAGACAAAAGTGGGTTTTGAGAAACACTGGCTTGTGTAATTATAATATGCGAAAGCAACGACTTTTAGTTTGATTATGCAATCTAGACCATTTGTATTGTATCCTTAGACAAAAAAACTGATATTCTAGACTTTATTTAACAATGTGGTTATTAATTAACATTGTTACTGAAGCTGGTTATTTTTGGCTAAAAACTGTTTGTGATTAGTGTTTATTATGCTGATAAATTTTAGTTATGATTATTAAAAGCAACCCTTTAAAAAATTTTATTATTTGACTGTGCAACACACTGAGTGAAAGATCAAAGATCAGTATTTCATCACTATGTAATGACTTCAATCAAGTTTTTAAGTGTTTAGTCAGTGATGTATAGGTTTTGGGGTAACAGTTAAATTAATGTACTTTACTCAGGAGTTAATTGTCTGGTTAGATCAGCAACAAGGAAATACTTTACAGAGAGTGTATTTTGATGTAGTGAGCTTGGGCAGAAAAGGGCTTACTTAGAATACTCACATAGACCCTAGTCTCTAGTGTAGTATTGTATAATGTGTGTTAGTACTACATAATGGGGTCTAGGATTGTCATCTGTCATTTAACCATCATCACCCTCCTGCCATTGCCAATCACCACTAAACATATTTTAAAATAACTTTTATACCTATCCTAATCTCCTCCAAGTCCATATCCATCTCCCTTACACTAACCTTATACTTAATATCCCAAACCCTCTCCTTTTTTTATTATCCCAAACCCTTTGGTATCTAGTTTTAAATTAATGTTAGAGTGCAGGTTTTTGTATGCTCCAGGGGAGGGAATTAATTATGGATTTGCATTTTAAATTAATAATGCTAATTGCTGATTTTAAGTTTGATCTGAGCAGTATAACACTATCTCACTTTAGCTCAATTCTCTCATTACCATAGTTGAAAACAAACATGCTTCGATGGCTTGGGGTAGGTGGGCTCATCCGATACTGGCTATTAAAAATATTAAAAGGTTTAGTAAATTAACTTAGTAACTATTTTTTTTAAACTGGCCTGAATCTCAAGAAGAATGAAACGGCTTTTTTTAAGAGAACGACATTAATTAACTACATACATTTATTTTATAACTTGGTGAGTGGATTGGAACTTTGTGATATTGTTTTGTGGATGGCTTTTTTGTGGTGACAGTAAAAGGTGGGAGCAATACAGTACTGCATGGTTGTGTGGTAGAGTGTTTGACTGCTAACCCAAAGTCCTTGAGTTCGGATCTTGGTTCAAAATAGTGACTTCTGGTTGTCCTTGTGTCACCCAGGTGTGGCGGATACCTGCCTCACTTTAGCAAAAGTAAAGAATGCTGGTCATAGTGCTAACCACACCATCCCTTTAGATGCCAAGTTCACATAAACAGGCAAACTTTACTTCACTTACCCTATGGATTGTTAGGCCTGACAGGGGAACTTTACTTACTAACTAACAATCAGCTTAAAAATACAGTGAAACATGCTACCCTTAGTGTTAGAGAGGTTTGTTTTGGGTGATGAGTACACTACACATTCAGCTGATACAGATGCTTGTCAATTGTTATTTTTTAAATTTATTCAACTTGTTCATCTATCTTCTATATATATAATTCTCTTCTTGGAGACCCTAGAAAACAAGCTGTAAGCGCGCCTTTCAGTCCCCTCTCTTCTTCACTAGGCATAGATCAAGCTCCCCCACCCCCACATGGTCTGGTGAGCTGTGGTTCACGTTAAATGTTTACTATTGTAGAGCCGGGTTTAGTGACGGCTATTAGGGGCATATAATTTAGTTTGAAACGATTTTAAACTTAGGGGAAGTAACTAAGAGGAGGCTGCTTTTACGGGGGGTGGGGGGGGGGTTGTAGGGGTTGGGGTTTGCGAAAGGAGGGTGGGGGGTATCGTCCTTAAAGACCTACTGATAGTGTTTTAAATCAAATATTTTCAGTGGCAGCATTGGTACTGTCGAATTCACAAGTTATGAATTACTGAAAAGTAGAAAATAAAACAACTAAATAGCGGTGTATGATACGCCGCGGATCGGCTCGTATTTCATAAACCAACATCTGGGTTGGTTTATGAGGTAAACAAAATATCACTTAAACTTCCACATTTGGTTTTCCCTAATCAGTCTAAGTTGACAGGAGGCATAAGTGATGGATGTGACTTTAGGATATACAGATAATTAGAAAACATGTAAAGGGCTGTTAGGGCACAGGTGATCAAAGATAGATGCTTAGTTAATGATTGGTGTACCTGTACGATTACCTGAGGGTAACAAGGTGTGACTCATCCTGTAGGAGGGAAGGGGGGGAGGGATATTTTCCCCCTAGTAAAGTAGTAAACAGGAGCGTGTTGAAGAGATGGCTGCACATCTGACCATTGACTGTGCGAACAGTTTAACCAACAGATGTGTGAGAGTTGTGCTGGCTTTTTAATCATGCTAAGACATAGATCTAGATGTAGGTGTTATTAAAAGATGTCATCACGCCCTTAGCGCAGGGGGGGGGGGGGGAGGGAGGTTGTAAATAAAGTGCTACTAATACTGTGTGGAATGGACCGGAGTTAGTTTAAGTTATGGGCTATGTTTTGTATATTTTACTTATGTTTATTTTAGTGGGGTTTGTTAAACTTAAGGACGCGCATTGTGTGTGTGTGTGGGGGGGGGGGGGTCGGGACAAGTTTTTTTTTTTTTGTTTTTTTTTACAATATGGTAAAATATCGGCGTCACGCTATGAAACTTACCAAATCATCGTACAGAAAGGTTTTATAAATATTTCTTGGTCGTTTTATTTGTGTTTGCTGCTATTGTGTATCTTTATGGTTATCTCTCTTATATATATATATATATATATATATATATATATATATATATATATATATATATATATATATATATATAATGTATTACAAATTACTAATACTTATGTAGAAAGTCGATATTATGCGACCTAACCATTTTGTCCGCATGTCTTTTTATTATTGTAACAATACCCACGCTTCTGAAGTACAGTCTTGAACCGTCGGCAAATAACGTGGTACAGGGCATTTGTGTTAGATACACCACCTTCATGGGCGGCGGCGCCAGGCTGTTCTCGGGTCCCGGTGTTTTCTTTGCAAGTGTAACGCATTAGGCGCCTGATGATACAGGTTGTTTTCTCCTACTGGTTGTGGGTACACACGGACGTGTAGGAAAACTGCAGAAATAACTCAAAGTATAACGTGTTAGGCTACTTATTTCTCGCAAACCAAGGAAACTTGTATCCAAGGTTTTTTTCCAGGTATTTTTCTCCGTGTAGGTGGGGGGGGGGGGGCGAACGCTGGTTAAACATTTTCTATATAGGCCTAAATTAATTTTTTTTTTCGTCCGGTAGAGGCTAGGTGCCAGAAATACATCTCACTCCACAAACATACACCGGAATGATGTCCGGAAAAAAAAACTACTTCGATTGTATCTGACTGTCTAATTCCAAGGTTTTACAGGTGCAATACTGTCTAACACGCGAGAATCATTATAAAAATTAGAGAAGAACGAAACAAAAAGTGAATCATTTCGGGAATTTCCGGACTTGAAAAATAGCACAATTTATAGTGTTGCTAACAATAGAGCAGTGAACGGCGATAGGAGTAGGGGTGGGGCTAATTGTACGGAGATATGCTCAGAACAAATCAAAATGTGATTATCCGGTTTAGCCCCATTATAAATGAATGCACATGTCCGATTCAAATTACATCAGCCTTCATTAACAACACGTTCAAAACCCTGTTTCGTAAAACTAAACATTGCTATGCCACCGTGGAAAAAAATGTAAATTCTTCCTTAACAATTACTGTCATATTTTAAAAAATAAATACTGGTGTAGCCTCTCATTTTATTTTTTTTATTTTTTTTTTTCAAATTCTAGAATTTGTTTGCTTCTAAGAGCTGCACTTAAAAAAAAAGTGTTTACATTGAAATACAGCCTTCTATAAGGTTATCCTATTGCTGCTTCATTAACCCTCCCTCAGCCAAGTTAGCGGGGCAGACAGTGATAAAGCTGTTTCTTTCTCTCCTTGTTTGACGCATCTAGTGAACGCTATTTTACATGGACACTATCTTTTGTCACTACGGTTTCAGAATGTTCTTTCCTCTTCTATTACTTTCAATTCTAACCAGCTTCTAACGAAGGGTTTCGATTAAAGATGCGTTAGTCATTACGGAAGTATTTAAGTTTTTTTTTCCTAGTCGACAATGCGGACAAAAAGCTTATCTAGCTGCGATCTATATTTAGATTTGGTTAAATTTTTTAACGTATGTTGGTCTGGATTCTGTATGAACCACAACAGATACTGCAAGTCTCTTCTGGATCTGGATAAACCACAACAGATACTGTAAGTCTCTTCTGGGTTTGGATGAACCACAACAGATACGGCAAGTCTCTTCTGGGTTTGGATGAACCACAACAGATACTGCAAGTCTCTTCTGTCTAAGGGTTGTGCCAGACTTTCTAGCGTAAAACTTTGATTGTTATCGCGAGATGGCATTGACTGCCGTTACCTGTTGCGCCATTAAATGTGCTGGAGTGTCTAGAACAGTAGTGTGTGACAACCTGAGTTAAGGGAGGGGTCATCAAGTTTTGTACCAATTATCGCGAAAATATATTCCAAGTTTCTGTTTTAAAAAGAGCGGATATTTGTTCTTGAAATGATGAAAAGCGCAGTGCGGTTAAATATTGTTGCATACATATACATTGTTTGTTAACTGAATAAATATTTCGTGGAAATTTAAAATTTCCACGAAATATTTTTATATTTGGTGCAATTTGATAACTTTCATGTTTCATACATTGGGTATGTCAGCGTATAATACGAAGGAGGTAGGGAATGGTTTACGACTTATTTGGAAAAGTGGGTACTGGATGTGTTAGAATAGTCCTATTTACGTTCTTTATGTACACGATTGATTAGAGGCCCCATCTTACAATCACATAACATGATGATGGTTACCAGTAGAACATCACCTCTACATTCTACCATCTCATTACATGATACTTGTTACCAGCAGAACATAACCTCCACATCCTACCATCTCATTACATGATGCTTGTTACAAGTACATCACCTCTACATTCTACCATCACATAACATATGATTCAATGATGTTGCTTCCTACCATCACATAACATGATGTTGGTTACCAGCATACCATCACATCTACACCGTACCATCACATAACATGAAGCAAGTCACCAGCGCAACAACTCGACTTAATAACACGCTCACAAAAAAATTATCGATAATCGCCTTTGGTTCTCTCACCCCCACCCCCCACCCCCACATTTCGACTCGCAGATTTGCATAGTGTTTTGACCTTCACCAAGTGTAGCTAGCATCCCATCCATTCATTGGCTACAGCACGCGTGTATGGGAACCACGGGGTCTTATCGCCAGAGATAACGTCCAGCATCGGCAACTTTCGGGAGCCCGGCACCACGAGCAGGTGGCCGGCTGTTCGTGGTTCTTGAATTACTTCACGGACCTAGCTGCTGCTGCCTGCATATGTTGCTACTTACCTGGCGATTTAATCGAGTTTAAAATATAATGATGTAATGTTGTGGTTTTGATGCGATCGTGTACTGTTGATATACGTTGGTGTTCTGTTTCAGTTTTTAATTGAAACTATAATGTAACGTATTGACGCGAGTTTTAAGCTGGAATCGGTGCAGGTAGATCCTGTTTTGTAATGAACGACCATGCAAGATATGATGTACATGTTACATTGTTTATGTATTTAAAATTCGGTAGCTGCGTTGTATGATCATCTGTTCGTAGGAAGAAGAGTTGCCGCATGTTAATGTAGGTTTGTGTTCAAATTCAAAAGTGTTTTTAAACTTTGTTAAAGTAAACATTTTGCCGCTAACAAACATTTGTCGCTTGTAATGTAGGTTTGTGTTTAAACTCTCTGAATGTTGTTTAGTGTTCAAAGAAAATTTGATTTAAAAAAAATTATATTATCAAGTATTAACGAACTTGGATTGCTTTTTTAAATGTTGACAAGTAACGTCTTTATTTGAATTTCTTTTCTACGGCTTAATATATGAATTTATTTTACTGTCTTTAGTTGATTTTATTCTACTAGTTCTTTGTGTGTTTTTAAGTGAGTTTGTTTAGCCCTCGTGAGGACTATTGTTGCGATCAGTGGATTATGTACCACACCCTTTGTTGTTAAAACAAGCTGGTTCTTAAAACATCGTATTCGAGGCTTAGCGAGCGTTTATCTTAACCCTGGACTTATATCCAAGAGACTTGCCCTCACCCTGACACATGTATAATCATTACAAAAAATGTACCAGTTTTTTCAGCTTCCCTCTTGCCATGTTGCTAATGTATATTACGTACCCCCCCCCCCCCCACTCCCCGCCCTCCCCCATCAAACACACCCCACTAATCCTATTCCTGTCTCTGACTTTGTATTAGCGCTAATGGAGATATGTACCCAACCTCTGGGGAAATCTATCATTTATCATTGGTTTTTATATATTTTTTGCTATTCATCCAAAAGACCGGAAAATTGATGCTCCGCTTTTCTTACTTGGTCGGGGTGAGTCTCAAAGCCTTTTAAGCCGGCTTAGACCTCTCTGCTTTCACAATCATCCCTATCACAACTTCCGCTTACGTCACGATCGGTAGGTAGTAAAGCTATCTCCTCCCTGCTTCTTGTAGGCCCCCATCCATCAAGATAAAACATCCGGCTTAAAATAGTGAACACGTGTATTAAAATAAATCTAGGTAACTTATACCAGTCCAGTGTTGTGTTGAGTTAGATAGGAGTTGGGAGTAGTTTGAAAATATAATGTGATTCAGATTTTAGATGTTTTGGTTGTGTAATACTTAAGAGTTGATTGTGTGGTGCTACAATATTTGTTATTACTCAGGTATTTTTTAAGTCGTTTTGTTGGGTAATTGTTTACAGTTTCTTGTTATTTAAGTCCTTCAAGAGCATTTCGCACACACGTTTTTACTCTTTAACAGTTGGTTGTGTGGTAATGGTATTACGATGTGTTGTGATTTAGACATGAGTTGTTTGCTTTGATGGAAGTAAAGTGCAACTAGTTGTGGTGTAGAGCGACATTTTGGCGTTCAAACATTACTCGTTTCTGTTTTAGGCCGCTGTTTATTAGCCCCTGGGCCTATAAGGCCGTACACTAAAGCGTATGGCCAGCCCTTCACTGGTGTAATTGACTCTACCCCTCTGTTGGATAGGGCTGACGTGCCATTTAACGACATTTTGGATCGTTCACTCCGGCCTGGGATATCTAAAACAAATAGCCAAATATGTGGTGCATAGTTTGAGGATAAGTTCACAAACGCATTCGAGTTTCACTGTTCGGGATTATTGGTGCTGATTTACTCGTGTAGTGGATAGAGGATTAAATGTATTATAGTACTGATTTATTTATGTTCTCTTGTAAAGTGGGTGATTATTTCAAACTATTTGTGGTACTAGCCTGATTATTGAAGTGGATAATTATGTTGACATTTCGCTAAGTCTACGCCTCTCTTCTGAAAACTGTGTTAATTCACTTTTCGTCACATCGATGTTTTAAGCTGTTGGGATTAGATACCACTTGATTATCTACAGTCATGAACGGCGATATTTTCATATGGTAAGTTAGACCATCATTACTTACATCTACTTCAACGCCTGGGAAGCCTACAGTGACTTAAGAGTTGTTAAAGAGTTTAGAATTAAACATTGTTGATTAGCTGGTAGTAATAACTGTAACGATGTTGAAGGAAGTAACATCTTCACTAAGCAATCTACTACTACGCTTGCTCCAATAGGATTGTTAGTTTCTACGGAAGTTGAACGTTATTAATGTGATGTTCAGTATCCAGTATAAATATGTTGACACTACACTCCCATGTCTGGTTCAAATATTCAAGTAAAAAATGTGTAACCCTGTTTGTTTATACTGTCTACATCTCTAGATCGACATTGACTATTTTTTTTTTGTAACATGAATAGAGGTGAGTACTTGTAGAGATGATGGTGCTATATAGTATTTGCATTCTTTCATAATCGCTCGAACTGTGGTGATATGTGTCATCTTGTTGTACCTAGCCAGATTTTGGTGTCTCAGATTTAATGCTGATATTTTTGTTGCGATAATATATTATCCAAATTTGAAAATATTTAACGTGTGTTTCTCTTTATTATGTTTGCTGTAGATCCATTTTTTTCTGAGGAAAGTCGTTATGTCTCTGTGTTTGTACGAGGGAGAGAGAGATGTAAACACAAGTGCATAGCAAAGTATGCAATACGGGAAATGACTAAAACATTCGTGTTAGATTCCCTCCCCTTCCTGCGCTATATTTACCCGCGAAATCCACCCAGCGTATCATCTATCGAAACCTCGATTTAAATGGCGGCGAAAATGTTATTTATTGCCGCGGTTGCTATACTGGAATAGATTTATAAGCATAAAACTCTGCTTCGGTAGCCGATAAGCAGGAGCATTTACTGAAGGTAGCGAGCATCGGTAGAAGAGTTGTAGTCGAGTTTTTACAACACGGTCGGAATCGTTCACGGTCTTTGAAGTGTTGTGAAAAAAAAAAGTACACTTTGTTCGGTACATTTTATACTGATTCCGAAACGGGTCTGCTTGGTTTGAAGTTGGGTTTAAATGTCTACTTTATTTTTTTTGTGCGCGCTTTATGAAAATTGGATTGACACTGCAACAATTGTCAGTTTTATTTTTTTCTTTCTTTCGAGCGATATAATAAGCATAAAAGCTTATCTCATGGCGCGATCTACTGATATATCTGGTTGTGGTGGTGGAAATGTCAAACAATACTTTTTTATTGTTTTTTTTTCTGTTTAGATGTTATGTAGGTAGCACTGACTTGCAGGCATTCACTTCGTGTTGGTTCTTCAGCCAGTGGTTCTCATATCGTTCTCCTGACATCCAGTGCTGCTGGTAGTGGTTCTGGTCTAATTTGGCTTGCCTGAGTCTGTTGTCTAGTAGTACTGTTAAATTATTTAGCGTTCATTTAACATCTAGCATCACTGGCAGTGGTTCTCAAAAATGTCTTGTCATACCCCTGGCATCTAGTATTGAAGTGGTTCTCAAAAAATGTTTTGTCATACCACTGGTATCTAGGTATTGCTAAAAGTGGCTCCCAATGTGCCTTTTTATAGTATTGCTAATAGTGGTTCTAATATTGCTGATAGTGGTTCTCACAAAATGGCCTGTTATACCCCAGGCATCTATTATTGCTAACACTGGTTCTAAAAAAGGCGTGGGTCGCGCCGCTATCGTCCATTGTAGAAATGAGTCATTTAATTACCGCCTTTAGGACTATGACTAGGGCTCGTAAAACTATGTGTCAAGCAGGAATTATGAGAGACAAACCACCGTGATTGTACATTCGATGACTCAAGAGGTTGAATCATGACCGACTGACTTTCACTGCACTAAACAATAAAACTGCAACTTTCACGGTACAACGTCTTGTTTCGCATCATGTACAACAAACACATTCTCGATGTCCTTTTAGGAAGTACATGTTAATGTACAGATGATGTTGGTAGTGTTGGGTTGTAAGATGATGTAGGTAGTGGTGGATTGTAGATGATGTTGGTAGTGGTGAATTGTAGAAATGTTGGTAGTGTTGGGTTGTAAAATGATGTAGGTAGTGTTGGGTTGTAAGATGATGTAGGTAGTGGTGGGTTGTAAGCTGATGTTGGTAGTGTTGGGTTGTAAGATAATGTAGGTAGTGGTGGTTTGTAAGATGATGTTGGTAGTGTTGGGTTGTAAGATTATGTAGATAGTGGTGGTTTGTAAATGGTGTTGGTAGTGGTGTGTTGTAGAGATGTTGGCAGTGTTGGGTTGTAAGATGATGTTGGTAGTGTTCGGTTGTAAGATGATGTTGGTAGTGGTGGGTTATAAGATGATGTTGGTAGTGTTGGGTTGTAGAGAAATAGGTAGTTGTGGGCTGTAGAAATGACGTTAGTAGTGGTTATATAAATAATTTACAAAAGTTTCGTAAACCTGGCTTGTGACGCCATGTTGTGATGTTAAAAAAAGTTACTATTTTGTGTTCCGCGTATACCCACTTTGCCTGGGAGTAGCAGCCAATTCTGTCTTATCTGACATCGTGACTTAGGTATGAAGGTAGCAGTCGCTGCAGCATCCTGACGGCAGGCTATCATGTAAGGTAGACAGATAACAGTCCGTGGACCAGTGCAGTGGATAAAGTTTATTGCTGTACGTCTCCGGTGGGATGGGTAATTAGATTGGGTTCTACGGCTGGGTGATAGTGGGTTGTGGAGATGGTGTTGGTGGATTGTGGTCTTGGGTTGGTGATGATGTTGGTGATAGTGGTAGGTTGTGTAGGTGATGTTGGGTTATTGATGATGTTGGTGGTAATGGTGGGTTGTAGAGATGGTGTTGGTAGTGGTGTTGGGTTGTTGATGATGTTGGTGGTAGTGGTTGGTTGTAGAGATGGTGTTGGTAGTGGTGTTGGGTTATTGATGATGGTGGTAGTGGTTGATTGTGTAGATGGTGTTTGGTGTTGGGTTATTGACGATGTTGGTGGTAGTGGTGGATAGTAGAGGTTGTAAATGATGTTGGTAGTGGTTGATTGTTAGACGGTTTTGGTAGCCGTTTTGGTGCTGGTAGTTGTATTGGGTTGATTATGATGTTGTAGGTAGTAAAGGTTGTAGATTGTGGTGGTAGTGGCGGGTTGTGGAGATGGTTTTGGTAGTGGTGTTGGGTTGGGTTGTTGGTGATGTTAGGAAAGTCGTGGGTAGTAGACATTGTAGTGGCAAGCTGTAGATGATTAAGGTAGTAATGGTTTGTAAGATGATTTACGTAGTGATAGGTTGTAGATGATGTTGGTAGTGATAAGCTGTAAAAGATGTTGGTAGTAGTGGGTTGTAGATAAGATGATGTTTGTTGTAGGGAATTGTAGATGATGTTGGTAGTGGTTGTTTGTCGAGCTGATATTGGTAGTGACGGATTGTAGAGTTGCGTTGCCTTTATTTCATTGTCGAGTGTCATCCATTCGCTACTTTATCATATTATGTTCGTCACTAGTAGTTTAGGCGACAAGTCGGCTTAAATTTGCTCTTCGAGCGAGATAAGCTGTAAATCATGTCTACATGTTACGGGTATTACTAAATAATTAAACCATGTCCGCTGTTATCAAACCGATCCCAGGAAATTTGAGATGCCACCACTGGATTAGTGGCTATAGCAGTGGTTCTTAACCGGGGTTCAACCTTACCCCAAGGGCTCGGTGAGTCAGTCAGGGGGTCGACGGATGTCAAGACACACGTCTGACTCAAATGATTCACGATTGGATATTTTTTAAAGCGCGGACGATAGAACTATTAATAAGGGTTCGGTGAATGCGCGTATGAAACTTATGGGGTTCGGTACATCCAAACATGAACTACTGGGCTATAGCAATACTGTATACGGGAGTGGGGAGATAAAGGTTATAATATTTCACATACCCACGTATGATATATGTTATTTTTCCTTTTTTTTTTTTTAGGATGGGTAAAAATTGTATTTGTGGGATTGTCTTATCTTTTTTTTGTTACATTTTTTTACTCAAATCTTTTATTATTGACTACCAGGTAGGTGCCTGTTTATAAGATTGTAACGTCTTTTAGTTGTGTTGCACATACGTAACCGCCCTAGATTTGATGACTTTTGTAAAAGAATCATTGAAGTCGTATTACCCATGTCTGTAAGGTGTGCATGGATATTTTGTTTTTTCTTCTGTTGAAATACCCGTGTCTATATGAGCACGGATAGCCGTTTTTTTTACCGTTGAATAGGCCCACATCTATATGTTCACAGATATTCTTCCGTTGAATAGGCCCACGTCTATATGTTCACAGATATTCTTCCGTTGAATAGGCCCACGTCTATATGTTCACAGATATTCTTCCGTTGAATAGGCCCACGTCTATATGTTCAGTTATTCTTACGTTGAATAGGCCGCTTCTATATGTTCACAGTTTGCAGTTTTTCTTCCGTTGAATAGGCCCACGTCTATATGTGCAACGGATAGATTTTTTCATCTATTGAACCGTTCCGTTATGTGCAGGGATATTTGAGCTTTTATTCCATTGAATGCCAGTACCCCAGTTATTGCTAGACAGAGGATGGGGAGAAAAGAACCAAATCTATCGATCGTATTCTATTTATCCCCTGCATGCTGGGTAGTGGCTTGCCTGTAACCTGCATCATTTATATATTCTTTCTGTCTGATTCCCCTTTTTTGTGTGTTGTTGTTTTTTTTCACGTTTTCCGCTCAGAAGCCCTGAATTACGTGATGGGCAGGAGTTATAGATGTGTTAAATAGCCAGGCTTGAATCTGTTGTTTGTATCAATGATAACAGTATTGTGATACATGTTAGGCTCGGGGAGTTGGTAAAAAGTGGGATTGTGGCATGTCGATGAACGTGTGCTTAACTATTAAGTGAAACAAACTTTCTAGTGAGTGTCTATGGTAATTATTACACTTGAAAGATATTTGAATACCTTTGTTGGTTTCGTAGATATTTGAAAACCCCTTTTTTAAAAGTTATTTTACATGTTACAAAAAAAAATATGTATCTGCGCATGATTAGGTCAAGTGACGTCACAAATATGTCCGCGCATGTTAAAGAAACGTCACATATTACGGACTGGTGGTCACGTTCTCGTTGATGTGTGAATTAATCTGTGTGTAAATCGCCAGCACGTGTTAACAGATGGCTGTCATCACTTGGTTTACTTGTTGTTTTAAACTCATCTAAAAAATGTCACTGAAAACGAAACCCACTAATTTTTTTTCCCCGTTTTGTATCCTGCTAGATCAAATATAAGGAATGTATTGACCTCTGCGTACTTTAGATAAATAATCAGCGTGCGGTGCAATTAATCTTTCGATAAATAATCCGTGTGTTGGAGCAATTAATCTCTCAGTGTGCCCATGTCCAACGTGTGACCATCCATCTGTTTACATATGACAGGCACATTCCGATAATGACAAATGACCTGGTCTGCAGACTAGCTGCTACCTGCTAATGGCACAGATGGCCGTTTACCACTGGCCCGTCATACCTGATGCGTTTCTTCCAGCCACTCTGTTTTTATATACTAGCTGGCTAGTTCCATCCAGCCCATGTTTTTTGTATGCTGTCTTAATGCTGGCTGGTTCTTTCCTTCCAGTCCATGTTTTTATATGCTGTATTAATGTTGGCTGGCCAGTTCCTTCCAGTCCATGTTTTTATATGCTGTCTTAATGCTGGCTGGTTCTTTCCTTCCAGCCCATGTTTTTATATGCTTTATTAATGCTGGCTGGTTCTTTCCTTCCAGCCCACGTTTTTATTTGCTGTCTTAATTCTAGCTGGCTAGTTCCATCCAGCCCATGTTTTTATATGCTGTATTAATGTTGGCTGGCCAGTTCCTTCCAGTCCATGTTTTTATATGCTGTATTAATGCTGGCTGGTTCTTTCCTTCCAGACCATGTTTTTATTTGCTGTCTTAATTCTAGCTGGCTTAATCCATCCAGCCCATGTTTTTAAATGCTGTCCTAACATTGGCTATTTCTTTCCTTCCAGCCGTTCTGTTTTTACATGCAGTCTTAATACTGGCTGACTCATTGCCTCAATTAAACTCATTTAGCATTGTTTTATTATAACAAGTAGAGTTTTATTAACAGAAGCAGTTTATTGTGTTTCTTGGCCATTACTGCACTTCAAACAAATATTCTTTTTCTTTGTTTAATGTATTCTTAGGCATATGTCACTACATATACATTACAGTATCTATTTACTTGAGCTGCATACTTTGAAACTACGCCCTGTCATGTATCTTAAAGGAATGCCATGCTTTTCTAGCAGAAACCAGGTGTCTTCCCCTCCTAATCCACCTAATCCACCCAGATCAGCTTCTGAAAGCTCAGCATTACCGCAGGACATACTCCCAAGTTTATTTTTTCCGCTGCGGGAAACTGGATCTCATTTCTTTTCAAGCTTTGGCTAATTAGTTTAATTGAAAGACATTTTTATGCCCAGACATTTGATTGTATCTGGTGAAGTGTGTGAAAGGGAGTGACTCATGGTAAAGGTATTCTGAACAAGCTGTATCCATTATAATTCTGCTCACTTCTAATCAATCAATTATTGATATGTTAGACATATTCAAACTCAAGCCTCTCATAGCTTTACCTCCAGGGGTTATGAAACACATGTACCACAAGGCTCTCTCACACTTAAGTGTATATAGAGCAGTTGAAGTAGAGTTTGTTTCTTTAACCTCCTCATATCATTCTAGCCTTTGCTTTCATTGATTAAAGCTGGGTACCCATTAGACATGAGTGGGATATAGGATAAGCCTTGAAGTTAACATCTAGACTTTGGGTTCACCATTGTTCCCTCTAATTTGACCATTTTGTTTAGAATAAATGATTCACCTAATTTAGCGCAAAAAGTTTTAATTTTTTTCTATTATTAACATGTTGTGTTAGATTTTTTTTTAAATTCCTTCTTTTTATGATATTTTTTAAGGGGTTACATTTTTTTTAAAATAATGATATTTAAAAACAACTCTTCTTGTTTATGATACTTAAAAACAACTCTTCTTTTTTATGATACTTAAAAACAATTTTTCAAATTTCAGGCCATCACTGAGTATGGCAGAAGGCCAGCAGGAGACTCAGCTTATTGCCAAGTATGACTACAAGGCTGAGAACTCACAGGAGCTCACTATGCGCAAGGGGGAGAGGCTGCTCTTGGTGGACGACACCAAAGACTGGTGGAAGGTTCGCTCCCCTGATACAGGGAAGGAGGGGTTCGTGCCTTCCAACTTTGTGAAAATTGTCAAACCAAAGGCCTCGCTGTTTTCAACCATCCTCAAGAAGCACGGCGCCAAGAAGAAAGAGGGCAGCAAGCCCTCCCATCCAAGTCCCGTGCTTAACAATGGCGACTCTGTGCGCTCAAGAACTAATGGGAATAATATCACGACAGAGACCTACCAGCTGGGGCAGTGTATACCAGCCTGTGCCAAGTATTTGTACACTGCCCAGAGGGGGGATGAGATCTCCCTGTCTAAAGGGGAGAGAATCATGGTGATAGAGAAGTCTAGTGACGGCTGGTGGCGAGGGAGGAAAGACGATGGCAGCGTGGGCTGGTTCCCGTCCAACTACGTGGAAGAGGTCAGCTCCTCCGGGGGAGGCAACTCCTCCGATAACAACCTCCTTTACTTCACGGCAGCCGAAGCCAAGTCCCAGTCCTCACCCTCCCACAGCTCAGCCGACATTGTCCTGGCGCTGTACCCCTTCACTGGGAAAAACTCAGGGGAGCTGAGCTTTGAGAAGGGGGAGAGGCTGGAGGTCATGAACACTGAGACAGACTCGGAGTGGCTGTCGGTGAGGAACTCCAGGGGAGAGACTGGCGTCGTGCCGGCGAATTACGTCACACCTGCGCCGAGCTCCGGGGAAGAGGGCAGCGAGCGAGGGACGTCAACATCCTCCTCCAACCCACAGTCGCAATCACAGTCCATCTCATCCATTTCTAACACATCCATAGCAGCGCTTGCTCTCGCTGGGAGAAAACAATTTCAGGTATCTGGACCTTTAGCAGACAAAGAGTGGTATTATGGGAAAATATCCCGAAATCAGTGCGAGGATATCTTAACAAAGTTTGCCCAAGATGGAGATTTCTTAATTAGGGATAGCGAGTCAACTGTAAGTACTTCTTTCATTGTCTGATATTTGTAGATTAAAAGTAAAGTTTCCCTTTCAAACCTGACGGTCTATGGGGCAAGTGAAGTAGAGTTCACTTGTTTCTGTGACCTCGGCATATGAAGAGATGGTGTGGTCAGCACTATGCCCAGCCGCCTTCACTTTCCCTAACGTGAGTTAGGTACCCATCAGAGTTGGGTAGACTCAGGGACGGTCTACACTGACTTGAACCTAAATTTGAACTCTAGACTTTCGGGTTAGCAGTCCAGCTCTCTACCGCTAGACCACTCCGTCCCAAGATTAATCGTATTTATTTATCTGAAGTTGTGCTAGTAAAACTTGTATTTATTCAGTATTTCCAATTAATCAAAGTACTTCTTTTGTGGTCTTATATTTGTAGATTAATCATATTTATGTGAAGCCTTTCATGTTTCAAGTCAGTTTACTGCAAATTTTCATACATTCTCAATCAGATGCCGTCATCTCTGTTTTAAAACCTCTCCGTTCTTAATCTTTATTGTTGGAAGGGATCCCCTCAAACATAATTAAGTATCATGTATCAACTAGTTATGCGCCATTTAGGCTGTTGACTCCAATGTCAGCCTCCTTTTCTTATTGGATTTGCTTCCATAGCCTTTGTTATAAAACAAGTGTTAGTTTGTTCTAATTATTTTTACTCTGTGAGCTGAAGTGTTGACCATAGTTTTGTATGATGCTCCTTTTTCAATGCATGGTTTATATTGTTTTTGAAACTAAGCATCTATAATATGATGCTTTAGGGAGTGGGGCAATTCACTCATTGTGCTTTGTTCTCATGGTGAAGTGATCTGTTGTGGAAATGTATTTTGAAGGGAGAATCTTAGTGCAGATGTCCAGAGAGACGCATAAGGTGGTTTGTTATTAAACCGGGGGAAATCTCAGCCCATACCCATTTTTTCACCTGCCACCTGGCTGATCCATAATCTGTTTTATTATAAGCTTTTTGATGAACATTCTTAACAGATTGTAGGGTTAATTTTCATAGGTTTTACTTTCTCTGGCATTTTGTAAGTGTAACAATTCTTCTTTCAGTTTTTTTTTTTTAATTTTAATTTTTTTTTTGTCAGAGCAATAGGCATTGAATAAAACATAATGTTAATTAGGCCTTTAGTTTATATTTTTTTACATAGTTAGTGCTGCAATTTCTTTTCACATTACAGCAGTTAACATTTCTTAGCCTCATTTGGTTTGTACATACAAAGTTTTGCTCAGAATTTTCACCCAATTGTTGCTCTATTTAATAAATTATAGTTTTATACTTCTATTTTGATTTATGCAAAAATCATAACTTTTATTGACAGTTTAATTCATTGTATACAAGGTTGTTTTGTTTTTTAATTTACATAAACGAGTAAAACAATTTTTTTTTCTTAATAATTAGTTAATCTATTTAGCTGTTATTTTGATTTTTTTGTAAGCCTATTATGGTGATCATTTTATTATCTGTTTGTCTAGTTTTTAGATTAACTTATATACATACTTAACGTTATACAATCCTTGATCTGTCACTTGTTACATTTGTTTTAAAAATATCTACTTCTTTAAGTATCATATCCTCATTGTGTTACTATTAATAGACATGTTAATCCTGGTCACTGTTGTTCTATAGATGTTTGTACTCTAAGCTATTGTGCTATTTTTAAGTACTTAAAACTTTGAAATACCAGGAACAATCTTTAATACAAAATTCACATTGTTTTCTTTCTCCTCCCTCAGGCTGGCCATTACACAGTGTCTTTGAAAGCTCCAGGTCGCAACAAACATTTTCGTGTGAAAAACACTTCAGGGGTGCTAGAGATAGGGCAACAAAAATTCACAAATCTAGACGATCTTATAGAACATTATAAAAAACATCCAATTTTCAAACAGGAGGCGGAGAAATTGTATCTTGTCAAACCGTTCATCTGTCCATCATCACAAGACAATTGATGTATCTCTAATATAAATTAAATAGATCAAATAATGTCACATTTTATTTATCCATTTTACAAAATGTATTTTTTTTTTTGGATCTTATAATTTTGAATTTACGTACCATCCAGTTCATTAAAGGTACATCCATTGTTATTATGTTACATTTATTCAGCTAGGAAACATTACACAGGAAATTCTTTTTACAAAATGTATTTGTTTTTTTCGGGATCTTATAACATTGAATTTTTGTACAATCCATTGTTATTTTGTCTCATTCACTTCATCTAAGAAATATTACGCAGGAAATTCCTTTTCCATGATCACATCCTCTGTTTTAAAGTCTGGTGGATTAATTTCTTGATCTCATGCCAGTCCAGGCTTAGTTAACTAGAGACGACACAGCTAAATCCCTCAGTGGTTTATGTTCATGGGCGACTGCCCTCCCCCTCTAACAATGTGCAATGCTAACTTGATCTTATCTCTTGAGGTTGTTTTTTGTTTTGTTAATCTTGTTCTTTCACTTTGTATTTGCCAGTGTTCATTGCATCTGCTCTCTTTTCTATAAGGAGGTTTTTTTTTTTTTAACTTTAGCTAAATGAATTTGATTTAAAGTTGTGACCCTCCATCACTGTTTGAGTTGCTTAGCACCTATGCCTGAATTAGAGTTTTTCAGTCTATCTAGAAGAAAATGTCAACTCTGATTTCACTAGTGAAAACTGTTTTAGTAATATGACCAATAGTAGTTTTAATGTTAACTCTGTCTCTTTTGTGCCACTGAGAAATTTATAATCTGGTATCTTTAAACCTAGCATATTGATTTGTTATGTACATACTTAACAACAATACTCCTTATAAATTTCAACAAAAATTTTGCACATTTGAAAATGTGAAACAACTGAACTCTCCAAACTGATTACCTATAACCCACCCACACACATCCCTCTTCCATATGTTTGCTCTAGCTGAGTAGAACTTAAGATGCAAAGTGACTAATTTTGTCATGGAGGTTCACATTTGCTGTCTATGCTGATAGTTTTTTTTTCTTTTGAAGTTTCTGGTGAACTCATGTTTTCTATATTTTCTATTAGGTTGTTTTTTTTTACTTCTACTTCTTTGGTCAAGTGATTAATGTAGTTTAAATTTAAAGACATTGGCTTTATGTTATATCAGGTTGTTTATTTTTATCTTTAGTTAAATGATTAATGTGTTTTAAAGACATTTGCTCTTTTCTCTATTATTATGCTGTTTTTCTTTTTTTTTTGTAAAACAATTAATGTAGTTTAAAATTAATGGCATCTGGCATAAGTTTCACAGCAGGTTCAATTCTAATGTTGAAGACTTCGTAGATCAAAGTATATAGTCCCTATCCTAATCCCATTTCTTGCTCCGTAGGGCTTTAAAAAACTTTATGGTATATGAGCATTAAAAAAGAGTTAAATCAGTTTTACTCATACTTAATTTTCAAAAGCACACAATTTGACTAAATCAGTAGTTGGCAATATTTCATGGCTGGATTAATGTGATTTCACTTTGAAAATTTACCTGGTGAAATAAAAAGCTGTTGAGTCAGTCACTTTAAAGTCATCTAAAGGTTGTTTTCTTCTTTTCATCTATTGGTTTAGTGTTGAGGACTATATATGCATGGGAGATCATGTGACATAGTGTGAGCAATAATAAATATTTTCCATCTGTGAGTAGTGTCTGAGACTTTGATATTGTGTTATTTGCAGCTGAGAGCTTTGTGAAGTTATTAGATGCATGTGTCAAGCAGATCATGTATGGAACAAAGAATTATGTTATAGAATAGTTAATTTTTTTATACTACAAATTAACACTGTCCACTTGCAAAACCTGAATTAAGTGCTAAATTAGTAATAGTAATACAGTACTTTTACTCTAAAATAATTGGCCATAAATTTTGTTTCAGAAAAAAAGGAAATAATAGTTCAATTGGCACCAGAGGCATTCGAACCCATTTCGGTGCATGGGGCGAACTATCAATTCTGCCCCCTCCCACATATTTATACATTTAATCACGTTAACAAAAAAGGACCCCTACCAGTCACCCATGATAGTGTTTTCCATATCATAGAGCCAAATAGCATTCTATTTTCTAAATTTTGATAGTAATACACCTCAAAATAAGCTTTCATTTTTTAAATTTTTCTACCCAATTAGGTTACCCCCCTAAGGTCGTTGCCCCACGCTCCCTTCCCAAGCATAGCTACAGATTGGCAGTATGTAGATTTCTGAATGGGAGTAAAACATATTTGAAAACTAATTAGCTGTTTCTTGATAAAAGAGTCCTACTACTTATACAAGCTTTAAGCTCAAAATACTAAAATTAATAATGTGGCTTATGGTGTATGGGAGACAATGTGATTTATATAATTTAAAAGCTTTGACTAGATTTCCAGGTGGTTTAGCTTGTGCCAAATGTTGCTCAGACTCTGATCTAGTCTTTGTGTTTTCAAACACTCAATAAACCAAAAGAAAATCACTTTTTTTCAAAATGTATTTGTACCATCTGTACAATAACTGTATAAAACTATAGGGCAAAGATTTTTATATTTCATAGAAATCTAGATATAATTTGAGATACCAAAGGGAAATAATGAAAACATACTTGTTTTATATCATTGTTTAGTAAACGTTTTTTTTTTACTTACAAATTTTACTACTTTACTTGTGAAACTAACCTTCTAACCTTATACAGCAAAATGTATAGAATGACATGGATATTTTAAGGGACCAGTATAGTACAATACATAGGAAATATTGTTTTTATACAACTAAACGATTTTCTTTATTTGTTATTCCACTTTGGCTTACCATAGGCAGTGTTATTTCTACTCATTAAGTCTGGTGATGTTTATACTATTTTTCTTGAGTTTTTGTATGAATCTGTAAATTGATACCAAATTTGATGGTAGTTTTATAATCAGTATGACAATTTGTAAATTGTTATTGTAAAAAATGAACACAGACCAAGATTCATTGTTGTGTTCATGTAATATATTTACTTTTTCCTGATTTACCAAGCTATTTAAGACAATAACATAGGTTCTTTTACATGTTTTTATATTAAAGCGTTTTTTTTTATCATTCTTTGACCATATTGACTGTATACAGGACAAATGATACGTCCAAAAAAATAATCTCGAGAAAAATGAGTTTATAAGTCTAATTCTAATATTAAAATTGTGCAAAATGTTAAAACACAAAAAATACTTGAATTCTAGTTTTCTGACATTTTTCCTTGAGTGCTCAGTTAGTTTCTATTATTGACAATATAAGTATAAATTATGTACATTGATTTAACAAAAAGTGAACATACTGCATTTTTCTTGTATACAGTCATTATGTTCATATAGTTGTGTTTATTATGCGTCACAACATCTCATTGTTTGATAGAAAAGTAAGGCTCGCGAGAGACAGAGTTAGTGTTCTTTTTATTTACTTTTCCCCATCCAAGGCAAAAGTCCTAACTTTCATTAAATTTTTAGAGTTCAAGCAGCCCTGTTATTGCTGAATGCATAGTCTTTAAAGACTTTTCTTCTACTAGTGACCTTGTTTTATTACTGATAATTTATGATGATTTTTTTTTAAGTCCTGTCACGAGGTGCCTTTGTTAGTCTGCATTCAACCAATTGCTAGTGTAGTTTACTGATGAAATTGAAACATTCTGATTTCAAGTATTTTTGTCTTGTTATAACCTTAGTAAAGGGTAATACAGAAAAGTTAGCCACAGATATCTGTATCATTTAAACTATGACCTCTTCCTCAAACTTGCAGTGGTAGATTTTATATTCTATTGAGTTACCAACCTTAATGGAGTTATGGGACTTGGTCAGGCATTTATGTTGTTTTTTTTGTTTTTTTTTACTTAGCTGATTACTATTCCTGTTAACCTAGCTGCCTTTTGTTGTTATTTTTTTTATCTTTTTTAATGTTGCATTTTTTTTTAATAATTTAATACAAACTTGAGATGGACACTTTTTTTTATCTTATTAATTGTTATAAAAACAAACAAGCAATTGTATTAATTAACCTTTCAACAAGGTTGATGTTTTGACAAATCAGAAAACAACCCTTTTCAATAAGGGGTATAGACAATACAAATCTAGGATTCCTGAAGTTGTGTTCAAGTATAGAATAAGTGTTGAATTGTTGTTGTTTTTTTTTAAAGTACATAAACTTTAGCGCAACTTCCATTGTCTTTTCTGTCTACGAAGCCTTGCTTCAGTTTGTGTTAAATCCATGGTTAAGAATGTCACCAATTTAGTGAGAGTAGTTGTTGCAGTCAGTTCATTTAATCCAGCAAGTCTAGTCAAATCATGTTGTATGGTATTAGTTGTAGTGCCTTTCTGTAGACAATACAAGCACATGAATTATCTTGTCCTGTTCACAATTATCAACTCATCCTCTACATTCAGTTATCTTCTCTTGTCCATCATCTCTACACTCAATTATCTTCTCTTGTTCTCTACACACAATTACCTTCTCATGTACCCCATACACAATTATCTCTTGTCCTACACTGATAAGTAAAACTAACCCACCCATGTAAGTAATGGTGGTGATATGAAAATAATTCGCCATGTACTTGCCCTTTTGGCCTTTTCTTTTGTTAAAATAATTTTTTTTTTGGTAAAAGGTTGCTGCCTCAGTAAGAAGCTTGTCAATATCCACTACTGTAAAGATATTTCCTCTCTTGTGCCTAGCCACACAGTGGTGTTTTATAAATGACAATAATAATATGCAGAATAAACTTGATGACTATCTCGCACAGCAGGATTATATATACCTGTACAACATTGGGTCGAGTGTGGACTGCTTGATTTATTTTGGATCTCATCCCTTGTATTAATGCAGATTTTATTTCCTTGTATGAGTAGAACAACAACCATACTTATAATGTTTGTGTATTAAAAACAATTACTTTATATAATAAAAAGGAGTTAATATTTATTTTAAACCACAATTATATGATGTTTCTAAACTGCTTTCAGGGGAAATAATTCTACCTGTTTATCACTTTGTTTTTTTTTTTACAATATTAGTTGTTAAAAAGTTGTATTTAAAGAATATTCTGTTGTAATTGTCAGCGCTTTTTTCACCTGTTTACTACCCATTATTTCTGAAATTGATACTTTTTTACCTGGTGTTCATAAAGCAATTTAATGGTAATCTGACATTTACATTGTGTTTAAAAGTAAATAATTACGTTGAGGTGAATAAGTCAACGTATTATATTTATTTAGTCAATGGTTCTGATTGTTAACATTCATTTCAAATAATACTTTTCATCTTTGTTATAATCTTAAGTGTCCTTTGTTTACATATGTAGATGATGAACAAAGAGTTTGCTTTGGTGTACATAGTTAACGTGACAGAGAGAGAAGGCTGCATGGGTTAGTGTTGTATGAGGTATGTGTAGGTGACTCCCACTGTAAATACTCCATTTATTTTCAGCATCTTCTAAAGTCCTGAACAACATCTGGATGTTCATAATTTATTTCATCATCCACCCCATTCAGTTCTTGAGTACTGGACACTTCTAATTAATTAAATATACCTGTTCAAAACAGATTTGTGTTTTTTTATTATTTTTTATTTCGCTGTCAATGGCAGTCTTTGTAATATGATATATAACATATTATTCTGATTATGTTTGTTCGTATGTACGTTGTACAAAAGGATATAAAAATATGCTCTTATGCGCAAGTCAAAATTTTTCAGTTTTGTTTAGTTGTGAAAATTGCAACTAGACTGATATGTCATTAACACAGCAAAGATCATAATAAAATATCTTAAAAACATCAAAACCTGCAAAATACAGTAAAAATAAACACATTTTTTGATACTTTAACAAGTCATTATTGAATTATTTTTACCAACCTAAATGTGCTGTTAAACAAAATAGTGATCTTTAACACTGAGTAATAGTGCTGTTAATAGGATCATTAGCGATTAGTATTAACATTTACAAACATGTTTAGTACAATATAAGGTCAACAGTGGACAAAGTCATGTATTTCTCTACATGTTCTTACATGTACGCCCCAACAGTTATTTTTTTAAATTATGCAAATAGAAACTACAAAATTTGGCACTTGAGTGGAACAGCAAAAACTTTAAGTCAAGATTATCTTTATATATTAAACCTTGTACAGAAAGTCTACATTTTGAATAAAATGGAGTCAATTATTGCATATGCAGTCTGAGCAGTATGTCCCTGCTCCCTTATAAAAAAAATCTGGTGATTGTCTCCTAGGAAACCCAGTTATAATATTTAATTGGGTGAATACAAAAACATACATAGATAACTAGGCTATGATGAATAGGAATGAGCAGTTCGTTGGTATAAGAATGGCAAGCTGATACAAAAGCAGCAAAAATCTGGATTAAAAAGTAGATCTAGGTGGAATGTCAAAACATCAACAAGTTTTAAAAAATACAAATAAAAAAATAGTAAGTGTAACAATTTGATTGTAAATGTTTAAAGTAACGTGCAATATAATTAAACAAAAATATTTAACCCAATTATAAATGGGTCATGTGAATCAGGTATCCAGTTGTTATGATATATGTAGCTTACAGTTTTTATTTATAAACATTTAATTTCACAAAAGTAAGTCCAGGAACAAATTTAACAAATGTAATGGTCATTTATTTTATTAAAATTAACCTTGGTTAATTACTGTACTTAGAAAAACAATTTTTAAAAATAGTTGCTTTTGACTAATTTAGTTATAGTTAGGTAACATTGCTTTAAACTTTTTACTCAACATTCCAGTCATGATCAATGGTTTACAATTTTAAAAGCTCTCCTTATGAAAAATATGAACTCTTATATAGTAAAATATTTCAGTAAGCAAGTTATAAATATAAAATAATTGATGACTGTTTAATCTTTCATCGTAGTCTTTTTCAGTTCATCCCCAAGGATCATGGGGAAGATGAAGTAGAGTTTATTTGTTTCAATGACTTCAGATGGATAGTGTGGTCAGCACTTTGCCCAGCCATCTTAGCTTTCAGGTACCCATTAGCGTTGGGTGGACTCAGGGAAATTCTACAGACTCGAGTTGGGGCTTTGATCTTAAAACTTTCAGGTTAACAGCTGTGAGCTGTACCATCCGCCAATGCTGTCCCTGTAATCTTTGTTGAAACCTAAAACATACTAGGTGCTGGAGTTCTTTCAAATCCTCCGGGGAAGGCACCTCGAGGTCCCCTGCCATAGGTGATGCCAGAGACATCACGAGGTTCAGAAGTGTTCACCAGAGGGGGCTGCTGGGTTGGGTGTGGGTATAGTACAGGTCTGATGGCGCGAGTAGATTGGAAGTTTTGCTGGTAGGGGTTAAATGAGGAAGTTGGTGGTGGGATGGTGGGGCGGGGAGGTAGTGAGGTGGGTGGGGCTACCTGGGGATGTAGCGAGGTGGGTGAGGCTATCTGGGGATGTAGCGAGGTGGGTGTGGCTATCTGGGGATGTAGTGAGGTGGGTATGGCTATCTGGGGATGTGGTGTGATGGGTGTGGCTATCCGTGGATGTGTGGTGGGTGTCTGGGCATGTACTGTGGGCATGGCTGCAGGGAGGAAATTTGAAGAAGATTGAAAATAGGACTGCAAAGATGGGGCATTTGATGGTTGGGATACTGTTGAGAAGGTGGGGCTAGTGGAGGTGTGTTGGAGAGTTTGCAGGATGGTGACAGGTGTATGTGTGGGGGAGGTGAGGAGCACAGCAGGGGTGGAGAAGTGTGGGGCTGGTGGCTGGGCCTGGGAAGGTGGGGGTGGCAAGTGGTGAGACAGTGGGGGCTGAGCATGACTTGCTGGCAACATCTGAGATGGTGGATGTTGTAGCTGTGTTGACGGTGGCATCACCTGCAATGGTGAATGCTGTACCTGGGTTGATGGTGGATGCTGTACCTGTGTTGATGGTGGCAACTTCTGAGATGGTGGATGTTGTAGCTGGTTTGATGGTGGCAAATTCTGCGATGGTGGATGTTGTACCTGTGTTGACGGTGGCATCACCTGCGATGGTGGATGTTGTACTTGGGTTGATGGTGGCAAATTCTGAGACGGTGGATGCTGTATCTGGTTTGATGGTGGAAATATCTGTGATGGTGGATGCTGTACCTGGGTTGACGGTGGCAACACCTGTGAAGGTAGATGCTGTACCTGAGTAGACGGTAGATGTTGTACCTGACTTGTTGCTGAGTGGATTTGATGTGGCGGTGGATTCATAACTTGACGTGGTGCTGGATGAACAGCCTGACTTTGCTGCTGTGGATTGACCTGACTTGGTGATGGATTAAAGACTTGACTTGAAGGGGTCTGGTGACTCGGTCTTGATGGTTGAAAACTTTGATCAGGTTGGTTAAGTTTTGGAGTAGGCACTGGCTGGAACCTCTGTCTACTGGACAGACCTGAACCATGCAGGGATGGAAGATACTCAGATGTCATTAGAATTTGTTCAGTCGGTTTAGGCTGGGGAACTTGAAACTTGCCTTCTGCAATTAGTTCCCTTAAGCTGTTGAAGTGGAACTTTGATACCCGGCCAAGTTCTTCAAAAACTGGAAGAAAACAAAATATTGAATTTGTTTTAAAAATAATAGATGTAGCTTAAAAATTGAGTTAAAACTTGATTAATACAAGAAAATTATACTTTTTTTTTACCTTGGGCATACAACCTATAGAAATCAAGTGTAACCATCAACATACAAAAATATTTAAGTAAATTATTCATAAACATAAAAGGATGATGTGGAATTGACTGGCCAAATGGTAGAGCACTTGATTACTAAACTTTGATTTTTAATCTCAAAGCTATGAGATGTTCCTGAGTCCGACCACTATATTGGGTAAAAAGTCCTTTTGGAACCTGAAGATCCATAGGGCAGGTAAAGAATTCACCTGTTTCAGTGACATCGGATTATAAAGGAATAGTGTGGTCAGAACTATGCCCTGCTATCTTTACTTTCCATAAGGAGTCACAGTAACCAATAGAGCTGGGTTACTCAAGGAAATTCTATGGACTCGAACCCGAGACTTTTGAGTTAGCAGTCAAACGCTCTAACCATATGACCACGCCAAACATACTATCTGATATTGGGTACTCTACCACATTTAAGGGAAACAGAGACCGCTTGATGTTGTGCTGTAACCACAAAATCCCTTCTTATGCTACGGTCAAGGATACAGACAAACTCTACATCAACTGCTCTGAGGTTGAAGTATGAGTGAGTACTTAATGTTTACATGTCAACACCAACCTCACCTTTGCCAGCGTAGTACTTAGTGCTGGGAGTGTGGACGACAACTTTCTGCAGGTAACAGGTCATGGCGCCGGATGACAGGAACTGCTCAGGCTGGGTCAGGGAATGGAAATACTCCAGGTCAACTTCAAAGGGGTTTCTGGGAGCAGGAAAGGTGCTCAGTTTTACAACCTCTGCAACAATGTCTGCAACCTTGATGTCTGCAGTTAGGGAAAGGAAACATCACAGGATTTAATATTTATGGACAAAAGATGGCCTATAACAAATTTAATGTGTTGAAGTAATCAATTTCAAACAAAATAACACTTTATAAAGAATAAGGCGTTTATTATATACACAAATTAAAAAAATGCACTAAAAAGTAAAAAATTTAATTTGGAGTAGACTTACAAAAGCTATATACTGATATGACTAAAACTAACAGCCTGGGCGCTCAATGATGAAAATTGAACATTTGTCTTATATTATTTAGTCATACCAGCATTTAGCTTTAGTAAGGCTACACCAAACGGGTGTAGGACAAAAGGCCGACAAGACAAAGGCCGACATGGACAATAGGCCGACAGCCAAAAGGCCGACAGGACATAAGGCCGACAGGACAAAAGGCCGACAGCCATAAGGCAGACAGCCAAAAGGCCGACAGGACATAAGGCCGACAAGCATAAAAAATACTAATATCGCAAAATATATGTTACTGCATATCTGCTATCTTGACAACTATCGAAATAAAGCATATTCAAGAGAAGAGACGATGCTAGTTGCTATCCTTATTAGGTGAACCATCGGCTCCAAGCGACTGAAGATTATGGGAGTGTCTTAAACACAAAGGATCAACACCTAAATATTGCGAAATGCGGTCACTACTGTCTTTTATTGCTCTTTCTATGTCAACGAGGTGAGGCAATCATCAAAGAACCAAGTCAAAAGCCGTCGCATCATCGCCCACATGCAACAAGGTGGGACGCCAAGAGACAATGCTAGATGTGATCATTATAAGTTGAACAATGGGGTCCATGCGTCTGGAGAGGATGGGAGTGTACAAAGGATAGCCAGAAAAGTGGTGTCACCACCATATTTTGCAAAGAAATCAAAGAAACCGAATGAAGTAGAACGATCACGTGCCTTTACTGGACTAAATGTTAAATACAGACAAACTGGGTTTTAGTTTCGTCAATTGCGAATTGTGTGAAAGTGAAAAAAAGTGTATACTATATTCGTTGGATTTATTAATTCTGTTGTGATTGTGATACAAGTGCCCCAGTAGGTTACGAAAACTGCAGTTTTACCGCTTGTCTACATTTTGATGTCTCGAAAAACCGAGGCTATGTATACACGAGCATTTCTGGACCTCGCAGATATCGCAGAAAAAATGCACATACACTTATCTCCACGGTTTATTGTCACTGACAATCAATACTTGCATTAAATTCCCATTTTTTTCTATTTTGTAATATACCTTTATCATTATGTAACTGGTTTTCAATACAAATTAAACATGTCTGTAATTGTAGTTTGTTGTTTTATAAAACTTGTTGGCCTTTTGTCTTGTCGGCCTTTTGGATGTCGGCCTTTTGGAAGTCAACCTCTTGTCTTGTCGGCCTTTTGTCTTGTCGGCCTTTTGTCTTGTCGGCCTTTTGTCCGTGTCAGCCTTTTGTCCGGATCCCACACCAAACAACATTTATTTTTTTACTTTTTTGTGCAATTTTTTTGTTTGTGATTTTTTAATATAATGAAATTCATTTTCCCTAAAAATTTTATTTTTATATGAGGTTTACATTATAGTAATTCATTCAAAATGAAGTTGACAACAATCAACAAAACACAAATTTTAAAATATCCAGTTCAAACCTCCATCCTTCCACCTGGCTGTAGATTTTAGTCTGAGAGGACTATCTTTGTCACCATCTTTGTTCCCAGATAATCTGAACAGCCTGTCGTGGTTTGACCTGACCCAGACATAGGGACAAGAGTATCTTGCATAGCCAGCCAGTAGAAACATCGTCACATCATCTCCCTACAGGAGAAAAAACATCGTCACATCATCTTCCTACAGGAGAAAAAACAATATCACATCATCTCAATACAGGAGAAAAAAACATCGTCTCATCATCTCCCAACAGGAGAAAATACAATGTCACACCATTCTCCTAGAGTAAAAACATCGTCACATCATCTCCCTACAGGAGAAAAAACAATGTCACATTATCTCCCTACAGGAGAAAAAACAATGTTACATCATCTCCCTACAATAGAAAACAAACAACCCAACATTCACATTTTAGAACCCTGTTTATGAGCATTATGAGTATCTTGCATAGCCAGCCAGTAGAAACATCGTCACATCATCTCCCTACAGGAGAAAAAACATCGTCACATCATCTTCCTACAGGAGAAAAAACAATATCACATCATCTCAATACAGGAGAAAAAAACATCGTCTCATCATCTCCCTACAGGAGAAAATACAATGTCACACCATTCTCCTAGAGTAAAAACATCGTCACATCATCTCCCTACAGGAGAAAAAACAATGTCACATCATCTTCCTACAGGAGAAAAAACAATGTTACATCATCTCCCTACAGTAGAAAACAAACAACCCAACATTCACATTTTAGAACCCTGTTTATGAGCATTATGTAAACATAAAAAGATAATAAATTAAACAAAATTAAACAACATAATTTAATACCCCAGCATGGATGACTCGCAGCAACTGTAAGTAAAAAAAAATGACACAACATACCGTAGGACTCTCCAGCTCCGATGGAGAAGCTGGTGGCAGCCCCACATCTTCATCTCTGAAGTTGCTCAACCCTTTTTGTGTGTTGTGTGATAGGAGCAGCGAGCGCCTGAATTGATTTTTAAATGAACGAATATAAATGAAGTTGGGGTAAACCGTGGGTCGACGTGGTTGAATGGTAGAGTGTTTGGCTATTAGACTGAAGCCCTCGAGTTCAGATTTTGGTTCGGACTTGTCACTGTAAGACAACCCTGAGGCTGAGTCAACCTGACTTATGTTGGGGAGAGTAAAGGCTGGCCACACCATCCCTTCAAAAGTCGAGGTTAAGAAATATATGAACTTTACTTCATCTTTACTATTTTACTTTATGGCTTAATCACACATAGAAAAAAATATTAATTTCGTTTAAAGGGACAGTTTAAATGTATTTTAAAATTAGTAATACTTTCACTTCAAAATTTGTATTGGAATATGACTGGAAATTAAAATGATAGAATTTTATTTTCTCAGCTGGGAAGATCAAAGTTTGACAGCACACAACCAATGTATAAAACTGTTAAGACTAACTTGTCATAAGGCAGCTGAGATGATGTAAAGCTATCACTGTAGCCAGCCAGGGACTGTCGTCTAGAAGTCGAATCTGCCAGGGCAGATGAGCTACTCTGTAGACACAACAGTTTATTTGTCTTCAATATAAGTTTTTGGAAATGTTGATAAAACAAAATAATCTAAGTTAACAAAAACCATTTCTTTTTTAATTATTTTCATCCTATTTAAAATTACACTTTTAAGATTGAAAATATTTTGGATAACACTTGATTCTCATAAATGTTAAAAATGGTATCAGGATATCTTTAACTGCGAATCATTTATTGGCTATTATAAGATTGATGACAATGTTTCATAATGCACACAATATTTTGGCAATATTAATTAAATTGTGTGTATTGTATGGATAACTGCCTAACTGGTTAATTGGTATCACTTTTATTTAAAACAAATGTGCGCTTGCAATAAATGTTTTACTTTGTGACATTACCTGCAAACTATTGTTAACTGTTATAAGCAGTTCCTCCTTGCCCCTGACATAGCAACTAAAATGTTTAAAACCTTGCAACGTCCCAAACTGTGCCATCTCCTGTAGGAAGAGCTGCAGCTTTTTCTTCAATGCTACTTCGTAGTTCTGTTAAATATAGAGAAGGAAATCTTTGCAGGCATTTTTTAAAATTCTGCTCCATACACCTGTTCAATTATAGCAAGGGCAGCTTTTAGTATAGGCCTACATGTTTAAAAATTATAAAATTCTGCCTCATAGCACTGTTTGAATAAAGCAAAGGAAACCTTTAGCATAGATGGTTAAAATTTCTATAAGCTACTTAACTAACTAAAAAATATTAGTAGTAGTATTTCATGGTGCACACACTGTCCCAATACTCCATCTATTAGCCTCTACAGGAATGATTATGAAAATTTGATTCGTGTGGGAAAGAATCCTATTCTTCTTGTATATCCTGCATGGTACTGCTGCTAAAAAAGTGTAACAACATGAAAGTCTTCTAAAAAGAAACTGTAGTGATAAAGAAACTAGTAGTAAATAGACAGTGTGTGCACCATGTTAATGAACACTAGTATTTTTCCTTACCAATGAATTTGATGCCATGATTCAGCTGATTTGGCTGTCAGATGATCAAGTTGCTTGTCATACCTTACTGAAAAATAAAAGTTAAATGAGGTGACTCAGAGGCATACAATTTTTAAACTAGATAGATGAGATTCTAACTACTAACAACATAGAGCTACATTCATACACCTTTTTATTTTTGGAAGAGTCAATCTAGAATAAGAATTAATTCTAGATTCTAGCTATCTAATTCTAAGCTAAATGAGCTCTATGAACTGGTGCTATTACATTTATTTTTTTTTTTAATTAAAATTTCATCCAAGCCCCTAGTTAACTAGCTAACTAATCTAGATCTCTAGTATAATAATCTATAGATCTATATATAATTCTCTTCTGGGAGACGTTAGAAAACAAGCTGTAAGCGCGCCGAGCAGTCCCCTCTTTTCCTCTCTAGGCATATCGCAACCACCCCCACACCCATATGGTCTGGTGAGCTGTAGTTCATTTAAATGTTTACATCGTAGAGCTGGGTTTAGTGACGGCTATTAGGGGTAGATAATTTAGTTTAAAGCTATTTTATACTTAGGGGAAGTAACTAAGTGGAGGCTGCTTTCACGTGGGTGGGGGGGGGGGGGGGGGGGTAGGGGTTGGAGGAAAAAAGGGTTTTAGTGTTTTAAAGCAAATATTTTCAGTGGCAGCATTGGTACTGTCGAATTCACAAATTATGAATTACTGAAAAGTAGAAAATAAAACAACTAAATAGCGGCATATGATACGACGCGGGTCGGCTCGTTACTAATAATTACAATACGTAGGCCTAACATTGGCCGGGCAATAGTATAGTATAGCTATAGGACTATAGGCCATAGACCTATCAGAAATCGGTATCCTCAACCATCCCTCACAAGTAATCAAGTTAGTATGTTTTACAGTTAAATTAGTACTGTAGTTTTATACTTAACTATTTAGTTTTACTTAACGAAGTGTCTATTCACAGCCGGCTGTGAATAGCCGTATTGGGGCTATTCACAGTCGTGACCGTTTTTGATAGATTTAATGTTAAAAATATCACATTAGGCATGAAGATGTGTGGTCGAGTGGTCATAGGGAGAGGCTGTCATGCCAGAAGTGTGGGGGTTCAAATCCATCAGATGCCAATTGGTCTGACCCTTAATGTATGCCTAATATTGTTATTATCAAAATATTTTTTTACAATTAGGTCTAGATTCTACTTGAGTTACTCATGGGAGGGTTATTTTTGTTAATTTTTTTTTTCGTTTGTGACGTAATTGTTGGCATATCAGCAAAAAAAAATAAACCGGGAGTGATCTCCCCTAAACTTTCTCGATTATTTTTATATAAAATAACAGGGGATGGGAACTCGGGCTATAGACATGATTTTTAATCCATTTTAAATACTTAAAGTTTTAAAAATAGAATAAAATCTCGTAGACAAATTAATTGCACACCAAGTGAACGCAAAATAAAAAAGCGCATAATAGTGCGCAATATTATTAGTACTTTAAAAATTTACATTCGTTTTTTGAGAAATCGGAAGTAGCGTAAATTACTACTTCCGGTCAACGGAAATTACTCAAAATTTAACAGAAGGTAGAGAATTAGATCTTTTACTTACATGTGAAATTTAATTTATCTATCTGAAATAGTACTCAAGTTATAGGCTTTTGAAAAATTCAAAGTAGAAAAAGTACCACTTCCGGTTGTCGGAAATCGCTCAAAAGTTGATACGGATCTACGATTTTGATAAAATACTTATATATGAAATTTCATCAACCTAGCTGTAACGGTACTCAAGTTATCGTGTTTACACACGGACACACACACACACAGACACACACACACACAGACACACAGACAAGATTGCAAAATTATGTTTTTCCGTATCAGTGAGATGCAAAACGTCGAGATTTGCAAAAATCTCGATTTTTTTTTTTTTTGCACGATTACAATACTTTCTCTATACTTCGTATATACGAGAAAGTAAAAAGACTCGTCCCGTAGATTTTTGCTAAGAGAAAAAACAAAAGTGTGATGGAAACTGAATTATAGCTGATGAGAAAGGACATCCTATTTCACCTGATATTTATTCTAGATCTATGTGATTATGTGAATTTTTAATGGTAATTGTTAGTTGAATAGCAATGTGAACAACCAAATAAACTGATGATTAATTAGTATTATTTATTTAAAAATTACTAGATCTATTATTCTAGTGTATAGATTTAGAGTGCATAATTGATCATCTAATCATCTATGACCTACGTAGCCTGTAGCAGATATGTCTGATATAAGCCTAAATAAAAGTTAAACTAAACTTTAACGGTAATAACTTTTTTCATAAAAATATAACAAAATAAAAATAGCACTGCTCTCTTAATCTATACCTCACTCCCCAGTCACAATAAATGCTTATATTATTTTAAGATATTATTCAGTCGTATTTAGCATTAAATGACAGCCGACTGTGAATAGCCGTATTGGGGCTATTCACAGTCGGCTGGGAATAGCCCCAATACGGCTATTCCCAACCGGCTGGGAATAGCCATGGCCTTTACTTAATTTTGGGCTAGAATCTAGATTCTAATTCTAGATCTAGATTCTAACTAGATCTAGATCTACTTCTTAGGCCTACTAGATCTAGATCTAGATCTACTTACTTTTTTACTGTTTTTTACTTTTTTACTAACCTGACCTGTAGCAACTGACTGGCTGGTAGTGGTAGTGGTAGCAACTTAAATTACGCTGCGTAGGCCTCTTCTTCTTTTAAAATCTAACTAGATTTCTATATCTGGCATGTTATTATTTAAGATAATTAATAAACTTATTAGGACTAGATCTAGATCTATATTAATTAAGAAAGGTAACCAAGCAATCTTCAGAAACTTTAATGAACTGTTTTCCTGGTTTGTTTATGTCCAATCTAAGAACCGGCACAAATATTATTTGATAGATGTTTTGAAAATACCGAAACACACCAAATGCCAGTGCTCTATGTAAACCTTGGTTTATTAAAGAAATGTAATGTTTAGGTTACAAAATAAGGTTAATTGATGCACACGATTATTTCAGTAAAATAACTTTTTTATGACAATTTTCATTTTATAATGCAAATGAATTATGAAATTATTATAGTTCCGTTTAAACGTAATGGCTTAGCTAAACAAATTAATGATAAGAGTAGGGCCTATTACAATTTCGAATGTGTTTATTTTATATGTAAAAAATAGATATATCAAATAAATGCAATTCCAAACAATAATGCATTAATAGTTGTGATGAATACACCCCCCCCCCCCGCACACACATACAAAAAATCTCGAGTTCAATTGATCTTATCAGGAGTAGACCATATATGATTTTTAACTCCTAGAGGGCTTGTAAGTAGGTCACAACTTCTCGTTTACGTACTTGCCAGTTAGTAGATTTCGAGACCGTAGACTTACAAGCCCTAGAGGCAGGTGGTTAGGATTTTTCTGACGATTATTTTGGGATGAGGGGGGGGGGGGAGGGCTCCTACTCTGCATTTTTAAAAGATGTTTGGAGATTGACTTTTAAAATCATTTCGTCATTTTGTAAATTTTATTAAAATTAAATAATTATAGGTTCCTTTTTTTAAAATTCAACTAATAGGCCTACTTGTAAATCTTATAATTAATGTATTGGTTTAGAATTTTTTAATTATAAATATTATGTCAGGATATAGCCAATGTATATTACAAGATGTTGACATGTTTCATCATCAATGGTATGCCAAGATTTAGCCAATGTTTAGCCATGATGTATCTTAAAGTGTGTGATCAAAGCATTGCCAACTTTGGGTCAATCAGTGGCGTAGGCAGGGGGGTTAGGGGGGGGGGGTCATACCCCCCATAGACCCCTCGGTATATATATATATAAAGTATGAGTGAGGGTGGGGGTGCAAATCGAAAGTTTGAGGGGGGGTGTGCAAATCGAAAGTTTGAGGGGGGGTGCACATTTCGAAAGTTTGTCCCCAGGTAAAAATTGGAACCCCCCCCCCCCCCCTGAGACGATCCTGGCTACGCCACTGTGCTCAATATAGGTTAGCTGACTGTTTAAACTTACATTCAGAATTGCTCTAAATTGTTCTTCTAGAGCAGTGGTTCTTAACCTTTTTTGAGAAATCGAACAACACAAGCTTCATATACGAAGTCACCAAACCCTTCTTAATAGAGAAAATAAAAAGTTTTTTTTTTTCAAATTCAAAACATAAGTTTATATATTACTGGTGCCCAAAATGAACCGCGGATCAACATGAATGTGTTCAAAGAACAATATCATTAAAATATGATTTTCACACAAAAACATAATGTGTGTTTTCTGCAAACGAGTGTGACTTTCAGACTAGACACCAGTTCAGGAATGTGGGGTTTCACCTTGAATTGAGCGAACGTTTTCTCTTAGATTTGCCGGTGCCAGACTAGAATCGCGCAACGTAGCATTGCAAGTCATATAGCTAAAACGCTGACTGCCTTCTAGTACCGTAATACTCGTGAATCCACATTGTACATATTCGTCCGACCCCCCCTTTTTTACATAATTAGTTTAATACATTACTCTCCTACTCTCAGTGGCGTAGCGAGGTCGGGTGTCACCTGGTGCGGCACTTAATGGTGTCACCCCCAGAGGCGTAGCGACCCTTCCCGGGGACAAACTTTCAAATTTTCGATTTCCACCCCCCCCCCAAACTTTCGATTTGCACCCCCCTCAAGTTTTTCTCTATATATTTTGCTATTTTTTGCCTTGGTGTCACCCCCCTAAATGGTGTCACCCGGTGCGGTCCGCACCCCCCCTCCCCCCCCCCCCTCGCTACGCCTCTGCCTACTCTATACCCTCTACTGTTGCTCAATAATTAATATACTGCCGTGCGTGCCATAAATACCCCCCACGTATTCACCTTTTTAGCCTGAAAATTCTTGTGTCAACTCATTTTACAAAAAGAACCTAGGTCTAAATTCGGTTTAAAAAGTAAAACATGTTTCATCTCGTATTTAGTATTTAAGATATCAATGATACTAGAATTTTATAAAATTCAAGAAAAGGTTAACTTTTTGAAATATTCAAACTTGAAATAATATTAAATCAACAGCCTATCTAAGTCTATGTTAATTATTTTTTCAAAAATTACCATTCAACAGTGCGCGCAATTTTGTTGGTAATAAATAAGCCACGCTTTATTTCATAATCCACATAAGAACACATGTACTAATTAGTTTATTAATTACCAGCAGCAATTGGCAAACTGATTCTCAACTAAATCCCTGCTTTTGATGAACAGATTCTTATCTGGATTTTGTTGGGATGATAAAATAATATGTTTCATGAAACGTTGTGTGTTGATACACAACAGATGTTGGCAATATTAATTGCACTGTAACGGGAAGCTTGCTTAACCATTGCGAACTATACTACTGTCTTACATTATGATACTGTCTAACACTATCTACTCTAATTTATTACATAACTACGTTTTTTTCCTACCTATATACGCTACATATACATATATGAAATGGTGTCCATCTAACAGAAACGATACTCAAGTTTTCTGTATTTTAGAAACCAAAAAGAGAGTAAAGTAACATTTCAGAATATTAGCGGTAAATGAAAAATTAAAATTAATATAAGTACACAAAGTTGTACTTATATTTAAAATTTCGTGTACTTAACTGAAAAAATACGCTATTGATGATGTTCACGCGTAACTCGGTTTTAAATTGATAGAAACATGCGCATGCAATTAGTTTATACTTATATATGAAATTTCGCTATCCCCTAGGTTAACAGTATTCAAGATATCAGCTTCTAAACAACCGGAAGTAGAATAGGTACCACTTCCTGATACCGGAAATCTCTCAAAAATTGTTAGACAACTACACATTAGCTATCATACTTAACCTGAAATATTGTCGATATAACTAAACAGTACTAAAATAATCGTATTCACACACGAACATACAGGCAAAAGTGCAAAATTAAGTATTTCCTACTTGGGGATGCGTAAACTGTCGAAAGATTTATCTCGATTTGGATTTCTTACACGATTACAATATTTCCTCAATACTCTGTATACTAGAAAGTAACATTGCTCGTGATGTAGTAATAAATGGGTCACGGAGATTACCCCTCTATCAATCACCACTACTCGGGCAGATGAGGCTCGTTAGCTGGGGACAGCCACTCTTCTAGGAGAGACAACTCCAAAATTAATCAACTGCTGCCTTGTAGTTTGTTCTTGGTTGGACAAAGGCTATGGAAGCAAATCCAAAAAGAAAAGCAGGCTGAAATCGGAGTCAATGGCCTCAATGGCGCATAACCAGTTGACACGTAACGCTTAATTGTGTTGGAGGCGTGGTCGAGTCGGCAAAAAGCTCATGGTTGATAAATTCGAACAAAGTCTCGAGTTCAAACCCACTGGCAGATAAATCTCGATCCCCCTCAACACTAATAATTAAGAACGAAGAAGAAGAAGAAGAATCACCACTATATTGAAAATACCTATACCCACAAAAAAGATGACGTGGCCGTCCGAAACCATATTTCGGAAACAAAAGAGAAATGCTATTTAACCCCTTCAGGACCATAAGGATTGCACGCATAATTTTCATTATCTCAGCATACATTTAGCAGTAAAATGACACGTAGAATTCAAAACTATTAACGTTTTGTTGATATCTATCAATGCTTTTGAGATACAGCATTGGACATATATGTCCTATGGTGTGGAAAGGAACAATTTCTATAATAGGTTGTGTAATAAATTACATCAATATTTTTTAGCTCAATTTCCATTCTGGAGAATTGCGTTTATTAACCCGTCATTTCTGGATGTATGAATGTATGAATGAATGGATGGATGGATGGATGGATGTGTGTCCGCAGCTTTAAGTCGTATCTCCTCCTCAACGAAGCAATATCGATGACTAGTTCCAAAGCAATTATGTTAAGCAAGTTACGAGGATGAACATAGGCCAAAAAAATTCCGGGTTTTTTTCATGGATTTCCCGGAAAAGCCAAAAAACCTCGAAAAAAAGCAGTTTTTGGCCCATATCTCGGCAACCAGACCACTTAGCGACTTGAAACATGTACCAATCGATTCCTGCCATAATTTAGAACAATATTGCCGAAGAAAGTTTTCAAAAATATCCTTTCGTTCGGTCACAAAAAAAATTTTTTAATTAATTAAAATTTGGACCGAATTAGTAGGCGTTTATCCAACCACACCACACGCGCCATCACGTTCAATGGCAGCGTCATCACGTTCAGTAGCTAGGCGCGCAATGGTTTTTATTCATGTAACTCTATTGTAAATAAAACATGTATTTTAACCAATGGTTTTACTAACCCTGCTCTTGATTTACGCTACGACAGAGCTATTTTTAGATAACATAAGGAAATTGCGCTAAAATTGTCACTAGACTTTTTAATTACCTTGTTTCTTTTTCAAAAGTGATTAAATGTTAATCGTTATTCCGGTACATTACAAATAGAAAATATCAGTAATGAGAACACACTTTTGTCCTTTATGAGTGTACAACCATCTAGGATTGGAGCTTCTGGAAGAAATAGTGTTAACATCACAGAACCTCACATATATTCCATTCCGTTCTCATTATCTTCTCTTGCACGCTTGCGCACACCTCATGCTTTTGTTTTCTCTGAGTTATCAACTATTGTTCAGGGTGTGGGGTTGAAGCGAATTTCTTGCTGCAACCGACAGGTTTTGATGTGATATTTCTTTCATGCAAAGCCAAAATTAGAGTTTCTGCTATAATGTATTTGTATTCAAGGCGGGTTATTTCATTGTACCCAGGATTGCATTCTTTTCTCATTTACTTATAACAGCACTTTCATTTCAAATTTATATCTTGTCATCATATTAGCAACATATGACATGACACCTGGAGATCAGGTTCAGTGGAGCAGTAGCCTAAAGGTATCCCATCGCTAGTTTCACTCCTAAAAATTCAATGGTTTCTTGCAAATCAGTTTGTAAAAGAATATTTTTCTTTTTCAAGTACTGACTAGAACCTGGATTCGAACTCGAGACACACGGAATAGTAGTCCAGCTCTCTACCGCTAGACCACTCCGTCCCATAAAAACACACCATAAGTGATATCTGTTTAAAAAAAATATCTCCCTTCCGGACTATACGATCACATATGTCTCAAGCAACAAAAACTACTTTTTTTTCGAAAACAAGCAAAAATATTAGGTAACATGCATGTTAATATAAAACCACAGTAGTTTCTCTATTTGCATTTTTTATTTTTTACATAAAAAATTATACTTTTGCTTAGCGAGTGGACTAAAAACGGAACGTCCCATAGATCAGGCAACACAACTTTCTAATATATACTGAATACATACTTATTTTTATAACGTCTATTATGTAATAAATGTTTTAAAGCAAATTTGACAGTTCAAACTTATCTTAATTTCGTTTTGTGTCGATTTGAAATTTCGGTGCACATATGTCCCATAGTCCGTAAAGGGTTAGAGCAGGCATATCACTGCGCAAGAGCGGACTACATTATAAACACCGACGAAATCATCATTTCATTTCAGATTTTCGTGCACTTGACAGCTCTATACAAGTTTTACAAACGTTTACTTGATTGTGAAGTCCGGTCTACCTAAATTGGTAAGTTCCAGATACGGATTGTTATTAGACAGCCTAGTACACAAGCAAATCGCTGCATGTGGAAAGTGAGGGTGGGGGTAATCGTCATTCGCTAGCTACTGAAAGTGTTTTGAAGCAAAATATTTTTAGTCGCAGCATTGGTAGTGTCGAATTCACAAATTATGAATTACTGAAAAATAGGAATTAAACTAAATAGCGGCGTATGCTACGTCGCGGGTCAGGTCGTTTTAAATAAAACAACAAAAGAATATTTTGTAAACTATTTTAAAATTGTGTATTCTTTTGAAAAAATTAATTTATTTTTCAGAATTAGGGGATTTTAAATGAAATTTTAACTAGTTTGTTTTGTTAATCAAAAACGAAAGAAAAATTATTGATAAATTAGCATCAAGAAATAAGGTTCATCAATATAATTGTATAAAGCAGTACAATATCTTTTTACTTTCTCGTATATACGAAGTGTAGAGAAAGTATTGTAATCGTGCAAAAAAATCTCTTGAAATTTTAACAATTTTCACCGTATTATACCTTATTTTAATCGGGCAAAAATTATCAATCCAGATTTATCAAAATTAAGAGGTTTTATGCGTAATCCATTCTGAAAAAATGGGCTTTGCAATTCTGTCCGTATGTCTGTGTGTCTGTCTCTGTGTGTGTGTGTGTGTAAACACGATTACTTAAGTACCGTTACAGCTAGGTTGATGAAATTTCATATATAAGTATTTTATCAAAATCGTAGATCCGTATCAACTTTTGAGCGATTTCCGATAACCGGAAGTGGTACTTTTTCTACTTTGAAATTTTCAAAAGCCTATAACTTGGGTACTATTTCAGATAGATAAATGAAATTTCACATGTGAGTAAAAGATCTAATTTTCTACCTTCTGTTAAATTTTGAGTAATTTCCGTTGACCGGAAGTAGTAATTTACGCTACTTCCGATTTCTCAAAAAACGAATGTAAATTTTTAAAGTACTAATAATATTGCGCACTATTATGCACTTTTTTATTTGGCGTTCACTTGGTGTGCAATTCTTTTGTCTACGAGATTTTATTCTATTTTTAAAACTTTAAGTATTTAAAATGGATTAAAAATCATGTCTATAGCCCGAGATACCATCCCCTGTTGTTTTATATAAGAATATTCGAGAAAGTTTAGGGGAGATCACTCCCGGTTTATTTAAAGAAAGAATTTGATAAGGTAATACTGTAGTAATTAATATTTTTTTTTTCAGAAAATGCGGTCATTTACTGAAATGCGAGTATTTGTTTTCTTCGTGTGTATTGTTGGCGTGTACTCTGATTGCCGCGAAGAGGACTGGAGTGTAAACTTTGATTTTCAAGGTCTGTCGGAATGCAAGCGACCTGGTGACGTCATTTCCGGGTTTTACCGAAGAGATAAAGATGTCATAGGCGATGGTCTTCGAAAGTTGGACAAAGTTGAATGCTGCTCAAAACCGGCGAAGTGGAAACTTAGTGTCGACTATGTCGTGGCTAACTGGTGGAGCGTATTAGACAAACCTAACACCTGGGCTACCTGTCAACCTGGGCACTTCCTGGCCGGATTCTACAGAACTCAGTCCAAAAACGATCTGAGCAATATTGAAGAAGGCCGGTGTATCAAAGCGGAAGATCACCCTAATAGCTACGGCAAATGTTCGGATGTTGACATAAGTTCCTGTATTAAGAAAGCCGGATGGTGCAAGTGCCCTGACAAGACGTATGTTGTCGGCATACATCGTGGTAAATGCAATGACCTGAGCTGTTTGGATAAACTTCGCTGCTGCAAGTTTGCTGACCCTAATGGCATAGGGGTATATCCTGACACAGCAGAGAAATAAATACAAAGTTTAGTTTAAACAACAGAGATTGGGAAACTTTAAAAATATATTTAATGAGCCAGTATATTATCTAAATTTAGATCAGATTAGTATAACATTTCGTTGTTGTCTCAAGGAAAGCAAAAAAAAAAAAAATATTGGTTAAACAAAATTTAAACATATTTTTCAATACATTTTATTTAAATCTTAAATTACGAGAAAAATGGCCCGTTGAGGAAGGGTACAACGGGCGCTAGGCTGATAGTGCTGTCTCTTTTCTCTAAACTAAAACCAACCCAGCCCCCCACAAACCACCCCCACCCCACCCCCCACCCCCACCCCCACCCCCACCCCCACCACACACCACCCCCACCCCAACCCCTCACCCCCACACACCACCCCCACACACCACCCCCCCACCACACACCACCCCCACCCCCACCCCTCACCCCCACACACCACCCCCTCCACACACCGCCCCCCACCCCCCACCCCCCAAAAAAAACATGTCTACCGTCCCATTCAACGAAATATAATTATATACTTTTTCCAGTGTCCGCCCCCTCCCAGAAAATTCTACCCCCGCCCCCGAAAATTTCAAGTACCCCACCCCTCTCCGGGGAGGAAAAAGTCTGAAAGAAACACTGAAACCAACCCCCCCACACACCCCCCCACCCCCCCACCCCCCCCACACACACCACCCCCCCCCACCCCTCCACCACCCCCCACCCCCAAAAAAAACATGTCTACCGTCCCATTCAACGAAATATAGTTATATACTTTTTCCAGTGTCCGCCCCCTCCCAGAAAATTCTACCCCCGCCCCCGAAAATTTCAAGTACCCCCACCCCTCTCCGGGGAGGAAAAAGTCTGAAAGAAACACTGAAACCAACCCACCCCCCACACACCACCCCCACCCCCCCCCCCACCCCCCCCCACCCCCCCCCCCCCCCAAAAAAAAAAACATGTCTACCGTCCCATTGCAAGAAAACCACTTTTTAGATTAGACACATTAATTAGGCGGTAATTTTATTATAGAGTATCGATGAGGAAATTTCTTTTGAGTTGGGGAGGGGGGGGGGGGGGGCTCAGACGTTCTTACGCGGGGGGTGGGGCTTCGCCCCTACCCGAAGACTTGTATGCAAGAAACTCTTCACGCAAACCATTTAGATTAGACAACATTTCCTTTTTTTCAATGTTTACGCGATAATCAATGACGTCATTACATTACTGTGTGCACTCTCTGGTTTGAGATTATGTTCTACTCTACGCTAAATGTGTCGACGTCATATTTCGTTTTTCGAATTACTGTGCATGTTTTTATTTTGCTTGTGTTTTCTCTAGAGCGTTCTTGTCAGACAGAGCGTTCTTGTCAGACAGAGCGTTCTTGTCAGATAGACAGACAGCGAAACTATTAGTATTAACGAGAAAAATGGCCCGTTGAGGAAGGGTACAACGGGCGCTAGGCTGATAGTGCTGTCTCTTTTCTCTAAACTAAAACCAACCCACCCCCCACACACCACCCCCCACCCCCACACACCACCCACACACACCACCCCCACCCCCACCCCCCACCACACACCACCCCAACCCAACCCCTCAACCCCACACACCACCCCCACCCCCCACCACACACCACCCCCACCCCTCACCCCCACACACCACCCCCTCCACACACCGCCCTCCCACCCCCCACCCCCCCCCAAAAAAAACATGTCTACCGTCCCATTCAACGAAATATAATTATATACTTTTTCCAGTGTCCGCCCCCTCCCAGAAAATTCTACCCCCGCCCCCGAAAATTTCAAGTACCCCACCCCTCTCCGGGGAGGAAAAAGTCTGAAAGAAACACTGAAACCAACCCACCCCCCCACACACCACCCCCCACCCCCCCCCCCCCACACACACCACCCCCCCCCCCCACACACACACACCACCCCCCACCCCCACCCCCCACACACACCACCCCCCCACCACCCCCCACCCCCAAAAAAAACATGTCTACCGTCCCATTCAACGAAATATAATTATATACTTTTTCCAGTGTCCGCCCCCTCCCAGAAAATTCTACCCCCGCCCCCGAAAATTTCAAGTACCCCCACCCCTCTCCGGGGAGGAAAAAGTCTGAAAGAAACACTGAAACCAACCCAAACACCACACACCACCCCCCACCCCCCCCCACCCCCACACACCACCCCAACCCCCACCCACCCCCCCCACACCCACCCCTCCACCCCCCCCCCCCCCCCCCCCCAAAAAAAAAAACATGTCTACCGTCCCATTGCAAGAAAACCACTTTTTAGATTAGACACATTAATTAGGCGGTAATTTTATTATAGAGTATCGATGAGGAAATTTCTTTTGAGTTGTGGAGGGGGGGGCTCAGACGTTCTTACGCGGGGGGTGGGGCTTCGCCCCTACCCGAAGAATTGTATGCAAGAAACTCTTCACGCAAACCATTTAGATTAGACAACATTTCCTTTTTTTCAATGTTTACGCGATAATCAATGACGTCATTTTACTATGTGCACTCTCTGGTTTGAGATTATGTTCTACTCTACGCTAAATGTGTCGACGTCATATTTCGTTTTTCGAATTACTGTGCATGTTTTTATTTTGCTTGTGTTTTCTCTAGAGCGTTCTTGTCAGACAGAGCGTTCTTGTCAGATAGACAGACAGCGAAACTATTATTATAGATAAGAGCTGAAATATATAGAGATTTAAACACACACACAAACACAAAAACACACACACACAAACACACACAAAACACACACACACACACACACACACACACACACACACACACACACACACACACACACACACACACACCCACACACACACACACACACACACACACACACACACACACACACACACACACACACACACACACACACACACACACACACACACACACACACACACACACACACACACACACACACACACACACACACACACACACACACATACATATATATACTTATATTTTTCTGATGCAGTGTCATTTAAATAAAAGCAGTAAATACATTTTTGTTTTCTCTCTTTATTAATTAAATTTGTGAACTTTTGTTATAGCACACGTATTAGACAGCTTAGTGTTACAAAATTTCTCTACATCACTATTACAACACTAACAAATCGCTGGAAATTCTTCACCGTGTGTCTGGGGAATTCCATTTAATTTCAATCTTAACACGCCTCCTTCACCCACTCACAAGTCAGCTTCCAATATTTATAAAAATAAATGCTTTAGTAGTGTGAAGAATACACACAGTGTGAACGTTATATTTTCAACCAGCCTTTGTTTAACACCATATTATGAATTTACACCCTCGTTTATGTAAAAATGGTCTTCTCTTTTCTTAATTTTAGTGTTGGAAAGGATCCCCTCCAGCACAATTAAGGGGTCATCCATAAATGACGTCACGCTTTTTTTTACGCTTTTTACCACCCCCTCCCTTCCGTCACACGTTGTCACAAAAAGCCAGACCCCCCCCCCCCCTAAAATAACGTCACACCTCAGCTTACAACCCACCTCAAAATTGATTTTTGAATTTTTCTTAAAACATCGATATTTTTCCAAAATCTCCGTCAACGTAGTGTATTTTGATCAATTCCTATTACAATTTATAAAAACAGTTTTCTAAAACGCGAAATAACGGCTACAATTCGTTTTCTAACATTGCTTTTTTATAATGCAAAAGTGTGACGTCCCACCATCTGAACCCCCCCAACTCCCCCTCATCACACACCGTCACAAAATTACGGACCCCCCTCCCCCCTACGAGTGTGACGTCATTTATGGACGAACCCTAAGTAGGCCTATACGTTTAAACTATTTATGCGCCATTCAGCCTGTTGACTACGATTTCAGCCTGCTTTCCTTTTTGGATTTGCTTCTATAGCATTTTTCCAACCAAGAACAAACTACAAGGCAGCAGTTGTTTGATTTTGGAGTTATCTCTCCTAGAAGAGTGGCTATTCCCAGCTAATGAGCCTCATCTCTTTAAAAAAATTTATATATATATATATATATATATATATATATATATATATATATATATATATATATATATATATATATATATATATATATATATATATTTCTACTTATTAAATTCAAATACTGAAATACTGTTCTTAGCGACAAATCCACACATTGATACTCAATAAGGTGACTGCGTGTTAAAATGCTTCGGTCAATGCAGTGACGGTTTTTAGACTGAGTACATTTTTTTGTGAGCTGACACTGATGATATTGATAAAATAATTATATGCTAATAATTTCAGTCCTTTTAAAGGAACAAATCAATTTTCACAAGGTCAGTTTTAAAAGTAAAGAAAGAATATGAACTTGTTAATGCACAATGTTAAATAGATTATTACACTTTTTTGTAGTCAGTTAACTCAAAAAAATGGGACTAAGCATTAGGGACGTAGTTTTATGTGCCTTTTCATAAAATAAATACTTGAGGTTATTCTAAACTAATGTTTGTTTAACTAGGTCATTCAGTACGAAAGAGTGGTCGAAACTAGTTAAACTGACGTCAAAAACATTGACAGGAAATTGTTATGAAATATTAAACTGTATCGATGTAATGAAAGCAATTACGCTCCAGATAATTATACTTTAATTGGCAGATTTTATTAGTTTGAAAAAAAAAGAAAAATTGCATTGTGCGTCAATTTTCGGTTAAGAAGTGTATTTTTTAATGAGTCAATATTTACCTCCATGATTTTAAAGGTTAATGATCAGAAATGAGCTATTGTGGTCGTTAAGTGCTTTCTGTATTATTAAACAAAGGTAGTTCCAAAGTTCTGTAGTTCGTGCGACATTTTAACAGTCGTCATTGTCATAGTTGGTTCTGTGAGGGAAATAAATGTAATGTATTGCTATGAAAACAAGTTGAAAACTGCGTTATACAGTTTGTTTAAACATAATATTTATATTTGTATCAATAATTGTATTTGAAAAAAAAACTACTTCTAAGAAGTAACTAAAGCTAACATTATTATAACGGTCATTTGACTGAATCAAGTTTTGTATAATATTTTTCTACCATGATGGATAACAACGAAAGTGCTCAAGATACATTCATGTCTATAGTGACCTCAGATACAAGGTCCAAGATCATTAACGACGAATTAACGGATATATTTTTTCTGGTAAATTTCGGTATAATCTGCGGCGTCATTTCATTTTTCGGCATTATCGCTAACATTATCAACGTCATTATTTTCTACCGTCAAGGCTTTAAGGATACTGTAAATATAAGTTTTTTCACTCTGGCTGTTTCGGACTTGTTGTCTTTAATCGGATTGTTATGGCTGTCGCTTTGTTTTTTCGCACCGTTCAGGTTTGCTGATTTGCCTTTTATGCCCACGGATGTCCAATACTTAACCGGGGGCTGGCCGCATGTTATTTTCGCTAGAATAACTGGATGGGTGACTGCGTTTGTTACAGTTGAGCGATGTCTGTGCATCGCCATGCCGTTAAAAGTAAAGAACATCATCACCCGTTCTCGCGTTGGGATTGTGATCTGTGTTATTGTGTTCTTCGTCGTAGGCAGCGCTGCGCCTGCGTATTACACCAGCCGGTTTGATTTGGTCTACTTCCCGAAACTCAACAAAACCCTCGTGGGTTTAGTTTTCACATCAGACCGCGGTCAAGTTGAAGAAGTCTCCTTCGCAATTAACAGCGTGTTCTGTCCTTTAGGCTCATTTACCGCAGTTGTGATTAGTACTGTTGTTCTTGTCGTAAAATTAAACGAAAAAACAAAATGGCGTCAAAATTCGGTCGCGGATAATACTAAAAACGCCAGTATAGCCATCAAGGAGCAGAAAGTTATAAAAATGGTGGTTGGGATTTCAACAATTTTTATCGTCAGCTTCACGCCTGCTGCCATTTGTTTCTCTGCCATGGCGCTGGAACCAGAATTCCGGGTGACGGGATTTTTACGCCAACATCAACAACGTCGTCATGTCCGTCTCGTTTATGCTGGAGGGCATCAACGCAAGCCTCAACATCTTCGTCTACTACAAGATGAGCACTAAGTACAGGTCATGTTTTCTCACTCTCTTCAACCTCGACACGACGAAGGAGCAAAAGATGAATACAGATTCTTCTGACGATAGTGAATAGCCGATGACGTTAAATTAATAAGTAATTGGGACACTTTGTGTCGGAGTTAGCAGTTACCGAGAACCACCGAAAAAAAATGTTTTGTTAAAGTTTTAAAATAAAAAAAAAATATTCTACACTGGCCACATTTTAAATTGTTCAATATCAGTTTTCTGGTGGTTACTGAACTTAAGCATACATTTGTAAATGTTTAAGCACATTTTACCGCATAACATTCTTAAATGATTAATAAACATGTATTGTCATCTATTTATTACTTATAGCTATCGCAGTGGCGTAGCGAGGTCGTGTGTCACCCGGTTCGGCACTTAATGGTGTCACCCCCCAGAGGCATAGAGACCCTTCCCAGGACAAACTTTCAAATTTTTGATTTGCAACCCCCCCCCCCTCAAGTTTTCGATTTGCACCCCCCCCCCCCTTAAACCTTCGATTTGCACCCCCCCCCCCTCTTGAGTTTTTCTCTATATATTTTGCTATTTTTTGCCTTGGTGTCACCCCCCTAAATGGTGTCACCCGGTGCGCTCCGCACCCCCCCACCCCCCCCCCTTGCTACGCCCCTGAACTATCGCACTTACAACATGTATTAACGAAAATGCACAATCGTCATTTATTAAATTGACTTTCTTTACATTAGTTAAGCAACTTTGTATTTGATGGCATAAAAATAAATAGCGATCGCGCTGTTGAGCAGGCGCAAAGTAACTTAGATCCTCTATAACAGTGGTTCTTAACCTGGATTCGATCGAACCCTAGTGGTTCCATGAGTCAGTCTCAGGACTGAGGTCAAAACATATACCCGACTCATATGATTTGGGATCGGATTTTGTAAATGCGGATAATAAAACTCACGGTCACGGCCGATGGCAGTTCAAATACGACAGCGCGAAATAGTAATAAAGTGCATCAGAGCGAGGTAACACGTATCAGTGGCGTAGCCAGGATCGTCTCAAGGGGGGGGGGGGGTTCCAATTTTTACCCGGGTACAAGCTTTCGATTTGCACCCCCCCCCCCCCCCCCCACCCGTCAAACTTTCGATTTGCACCCCCCCTCAAACTTTCGATTTGCACCCCCCCCCTCATACTTTTTATATATACCGAGGGGTCTATGGGGGGGGGGTTTATGACCCCCCCTAACCCCCCCCCCCTGCCTACGCCACTGACACCTATCGTGATATTTCTATTTTGTGGAACCTTTATCTGCACAACGTACATACTTCACGAATCATGTCAAATCCACCTGTTCAGCGCACGTTGATTGTGTATACACGCGTTGTGCTGAATATATTTTCATAATCGGATTGTAATGGTTGTTACGGTAAAGTAAAAGTAAAGTTCCCTTTTCATACCTGACGATCCATAGTGCAAGTGAAGTAGAGTTCACTTGTTTCTGTGACCTCGGTATATGAAGAGATAGTGTGGTCAGCACTATGCCCAGCCAATTTTTACTTTCCCTAACGTGAGTAAGGTACCTATCAGAGTTGGGTGGACTCAGGGACGATCTACTGACTTGAAACCGGATTCAACTCGAGACTTGCGAGTTAGCAGTCCAGCTCTCTACCGCTAGACCACTCTGTCCCCGGTTGTTACGGTAGCCTACGTCGTGTGATTTTTTATATTTTTAAGTGTCGAGAAATATCATATTGATAAAAAGGTGCGTAGTTATATTTATCTAGTATGATTGCACGGTACAGTGTAAAACATTATTAAATTCTATGTACTTTGTTTTGGCGCAAAATATATTTAATTATAAATATTTGATCAACAGACAAAGGATGTGCGTATCTCTACATGAAAAAAAGGGATTAAGATGGGGATCAATTAGCTTCCATCGAAAAGCTAATTAATTTTATTAGAAGATGCATACCATACTTATATGGCTTAAGAGAGAATGCATTGCTTATTTTTACATACAGAAATGTTTACATGATATTGTGATGAGGGTACCCATATTAATTAAATGGACACATTTTAAAAATTAACATTTCCTAAAGTTTTTAAAACATAGTATAAATTTTACATTAGAAATTAAATTTTTGGTACAACGTGATTTGCGTTTTACATGTGAATTCTTTTTTTATGTATCATCATAAATTGTATTTACGTGGACTTTTTTATGCGAGACCAGGGAAATTTTGGGGGGAAGCAAGGATCAGTAGCGTAGCGAGGGCGGGGGGGGGGGGGGCGGGGGGGGGGAACTATGTCCCCTGGCGCCGACCTTAGGGGGCGCCAAAATGGGTTGAAGAAAATAAATTGAAAGGTCGAGGGGGGGTTGCAAATCGAAAGTTTGAGGGGGGTGGGGGGGGGTGCAAATCGAAATCTTGAGGGGGGGGGGGTGCAAATCGAAAGTTTGAGGGGGGGTGCAAATCGAAATCTTGAGGAGGGGGTGCAAATCGAAAGTTTGAGGGTGGGGGGGTGCAAATCAAAATCTTGAGGGGGGGGGTGCAAATCGAAAAGCTTGTCCCCGGGCGCCGGGGAAGGGTCGCTACGCCTCTGGCAAGGATAGGACATTTTAGTAGATAGGGTCGAAGGCTACTCACGATCAAGCTGGGTTACATGACGGTGGGACGATCTCCTGCCTCAGGTGGTGGGGAAGGCAAGCCTGGTGAGAGCCCACGGGGAGCGCAGCGACCGACAGAGTTCAAACCGATATCTTCGTGACAGTTGCGTAGCCAGGATCGCCCTCAAAGGGGGGGGGGGGTCCAATTTTTACCCGGGGACAAACTTCACTTTCGATTTGCCACCCCCCCCCCCCTCAGACTTTTGATTTGCACTCCCCCCTCAAACTTTCGATTTGCACCCCCTCAAACTTTCGATTTGCACCCCCCCTCATACTATATATATATATACCGAGGGGTCTATGGGGGAAGGGGTTATGACCCCCCCCCCCTAACCCCCCACTTCCTACGCCACTGCTTCGTGAGCTGCCAACAGCCCACACTAAAGCAGTTAGTCGGAGGTACACTGTGTCGAGGCCGGCCTGGCTAATGGGAGGTAACTCCTGAGCCGGTGATCTGTGTCATTTGACCTAAGTCCCGCTGGGGTGTAGGACCAAAAGTAGAGATGGAGGCAATATTGCTTGGAGAGCCAGCAAAAAAGTGAAAAAAAACAATATTTACAGAAAGAGGACAGGATAACAAATGTAATTGCAGAAAGGGGGAAACAGAACTACACATGAATTTTTGCGTGGGCCGTCGCGTACAGTTTGTCATACTAGGCCCTATTTTTTTTCTATTTTGTAATACACCTTCATCATTATGTAACTGGTTTTCAATAAAAATTAAACATGTCTGTAACTGTAGTTTGTTGTTTTATAAAACTTGTCGGCCTCTTGTCTTGTTGGCCTTGTGGATGTCGGCCTTTTTTGCTGTCGGCCTTTTGTCTTGTCGGCCTTTTGGATGTCGGCCTTTTGGAAGTCGGCCTTTTGTCTTGTCGGCCTTTTGTCCGTCGGCCTTTTATCCCATGTCGGCCTTTTGTCCGTGTCGGCCTTTTGTCCATGTCGGCCTTTTGTCCGGATCCCGTACAGCTGGGCCCAAATAGTTTGAAAATACATGAATCAACACTGTGTTTTAGAAAGTGTTCGGCTAGATGAGTTGCTATTTTCAACCCATATTCAAATATAAGGACGACTTAATTTAAAATACTTTGTTGATTTTATCAAAGTTTAATCAAATTGTGCGTCAAGCTGTTAACTTAAATCAAAACATTCCTCCTTACGTTCACAAAAATCTAATAATCTCTATATAAAACAAACATTTTTTTTTTAAATTAGATCTATGTAAAACATAAAAATGTATGTATCAAAGCTATACGAAAGATGCGGAAAACAAGTGTTGGGGAGGACTTAGCAGTGTGTTAGATCGAAACATTAGTACATTAGGTGGTACATCACGTTTTTAAGATTAAAAAAACTTTCCTAGGTTGCGGTGATGGAGGGGGGGGGGGGGGGGTGGGGGGGGGGGGGGTAGAGGGAGGGTCGAAAGGAGGGCCTCCACCCATTTTCCTCCCCTTCCCCAAGCTATCTGCCATTCTTCGACTCTGGTGTGTAAAAATCTTCCAGCACTGAGTGGTGGGGGGGTGGGGGGACGAGTAGCATTGAGGGAGGAACATATTTATTTAATTAAATAGAATATCAACGTAAAAAAGCGATTGTCTTTAATTACATTAGTACAGTTAGCATTGTATTTGTTAGGTATAAAAATAATATATTGGTTAAAATTCAGGCGGTGAAAGACAATACATATAAAAGAGATAAATACGCATGTAGATGTCAGAATTTGTAAGTGGTACTAAGTTTACACCGATAAACTATAACATGCAAATCCTACTTGACTGATAAATAAAAATTTTGCTCTATTTGTCCTTAAAATGAAGTAGCTCTAAGATGCGTTAAATTTTTTTTTCATTTAATGAATCAACCATAGCCAACATGCCATCTTAGCCTTACCTCCCCCAGAGGCGTAGCGGACCCTTCCCGGCGCCCGGGAACAAACTTTCGATTTGCACCACCCCTCAGATTTCGATTTGCACCACCCCCTCAAACTTTCGATTTGCACCCCCCCCTCCCAGCAATTTCAATGTGCACCCCCCCCCCCTCAAACTTTTGATTTGCACCCCCCTCAAGATTTCGATTTGCACCACCCCCCTCAAACTTTCGATTTACACCCCCCCCCCTCAAGATTTTGATTTGCACCCCCTCAAACTTTCAACTTATTTTTCCAACCCATTTTGGCGCCCCCTAAGGTCGGCGCCCGGAGACATATGCTCCCAAACCATTTAATGGCGAACGTGGTCTTTTCACTGAACTAAAAAGAAAATACTTCATGCTCAACATATTCAAGTGAGTCAAAGCTGTGGGAATATTTTTGTCAAAATAATAATACGTTCTTAAAAGCAGGGTTAAGGTGTTATATAAC